ACTCATGTCGTGAGAAGTCCCCTCAAACGCGCACTCGTGTCGTGAGAAGTCCACTCAAACGCGCACTCGTGTCGTGAGAAGTCCCCTCAAACGCGCACTCGTGTCGTGAGAAGTCCACTCAAACGCGCACTCGTGTCGTGAGAAGTCCACTCAAACGCGCACTCGTGTCGTGAGAAGTCCACTCAAACGCACACTCGTGTCGTGAGAAGTCCACTCAAACGCGCACTCGTGTCGTGAGAAGTCCCCTCAAACGCGCACTCGTGTCGTGAGAAGTCCACTCAAACGCGCACTCATGTCGTGAGAAGTCCCCTCAAACGCGCACTCGTGTCATGAGAAGTCCACTCAAACGCGCACTCGTGTCGTGAGAAGTCCCCTCAAACGCGCACTCGTGTCGTGAGAAGTCCACTCAAACGCGCACTCGTGTCGTGAGAAGTCCCCTCAAACGCGCACTCGTGTCGTGAGAAGTCCCCTCAAACGCGCACTCGTGTCGTGAGAAGTCCCCTCAAACGCACACTCGTGTCGTGAGAAGTCCACTCAAACGCGCACTCGTGTCGTGAGAAGTCCCCTCAAACGCGCACTCGTGTCGTGAGAAGTCCACTCAAACGCACACTCGTGTCGTGAGAAGTCCCCTCAAACGCGCACTCGTGTCGTGAGAAGTCCACTCAAACGCACACTCGTGTCGTGAGAAGTCCCCTCAAACGCGCACTCGTGTCGTGAGAAGTCCACTCAAACGCGCACTCGTGTCGTGAGAAATCCCCTCAAACGCGCACTCGTGTCGTGAGAAGTCCACTCAAACGCGCACTCGTGTCGTGAGAAGTCCCCTCAAACGCGCACTCGTGTCGTGAGAAGTCCCCTCAAACGCGCACTCGTGTCGTGAGAAGTCCACTCAAACGCGCACTCGTGTCGTGAGAAGTCCACTCAAACGCGCACTCGTGTCGTGAGAAGTCCACTCAAACGCACACTCGTGTCGTGAGAAGTCCACTCAAACGCACTCGTGTCGTGAGAAGTCCCCTCAAACGCGCACTCGTGTCGTGAGAAGTCCACTCAAACGCGCACTCGTGTCGTGAGAAGTCCCCTCAAACGCGCACTCGTGTCGTGAGAAGTCCACTCAAACGCGCACTCGTGTCGTGAGAAGTCCCCTCAAACGCGCACTCGTGTCGTGAGAAGTCCACTCAAACGCGCACTCGTGTCGTGAGAAGTCCCCTCAAACGCGCACTCGTGTCGTGAGAAGTCCCCTCAAACGCGCACTCGTGTCGTGAGAAGTCCACTCAAACGCGCACTCGTGTCGTGAGAAGTCCCCTCAAACGCGCACTCGTGTCGTGAGAAGTCCACTCAAACGCGCACTCGTGTCGTGAGAAGTCCCCTCAAACGCGCACTCGTGTCGTGAGAAGTCCCCTCAAACGCGCACTCGTGTCGTGAGAAGTCCCCTCAAACGCGCACTCGTGTCGTGAGAAGTCCCCTCAAACGCGCACTCGTGTCGTGAGAAGTCCCCTCAAACGCGCACTCGTGTCGTGAGAAGTCCCCTCAAACGCGCACTCCTGTCGTGAGAAGTCCCCTCAAACGCGCACTCGTGTCGTGAGAAGTCCACTCAAACGCGCACTCATGTCGTGAGAAGTCCCCTCAAACGCGCACTCGTGTCGTGAGAAGTCCACTCAAACGCGCACTCGTGTCGTGAGAAGTCCACTCAAACGCGCACTCGTGTCGTGAGAAGTCCCCTCAAACGCGCACTCGTGTCGTGAGAAGTCCACTCAAACGCGCACTCGTGTCGTGAGAAGTCCCCTCAAACGCGCACTCGTGTCGTGAGAAGTCCACTCAAACGCGCACTCGTGTCGTGAGAAGTCCCCTCAAACGCGCACTCGTGTCGTGAGAAGTCCACTCAAACGCGCACTCGTGTCGTGAGAAGTCCCCTCAAACGCGCACTCGTGTCGTGAGAAGTCCCCTCAAACGCACACTCGTGTCGTGAGAAGTCCCCTCAAACGCGCACTCGTGTCGTGAGAAGTCCCCTCAAACGCGCACTCGTGTCGTGAGAAGTCCCCTCAAACGCGCACTCGTGTCGTGAGAAGTCCCCTCAAACGCGCACTCGTGTCGTGAGAAGTCCCCTCAAACGCGCACTCGTGTCGTGAGAAGTCCCCTCAAACGCGCACTCGTGTCGTGAGAAGTCCACTCAAACGCGCACTCGTGTCGTGAGAAGTCCCCTCAAACGCGCACTCGTGTCGTGAGAAGTCCACTCAAACGCACACTCGTGTCGTGAGAAGTCCCCTCAAACGCGCACTCGTGTCGTGAGAAGTCCACTCAAACGCGCACTCGTGTCGTGAGAAGTCCCCTCAAACGCGCACTCATGTCGTGAGAAGTCCACTCAAACGCGCACTCGTGTCGTGAGAAGTCCCCTCAAACGCGCACTCGTGTCGTGAGAAGTCCACTCAAACGCGCACTCATGTCGTGAGAAGTCCCCTCAAACGCGCACTCGTGTCGTGAGAAGTCCACTCAAACGCGCACTCGTGTCGTGAGAAGTCCCCTCAAACGCGCACTCGTGTCGTGAGAAGTCCACTCAAACGCGCACTCGTGTCGTGAGAAGTCCCCTCAAACGCGCACTCGTGTCGTGAGAAGTCCCCTCAAACGCGCACTCGTGTCGTGAGAAGTCCACTCAAACGCGCACTCGTGTCGTGAGAAGTCCCCTCAAACGCGCACTCGTGTCGTGAGAAGTCCACTCAAACGCGCACTCGTGTCGTGAGAAGTCCCCTCAAACGCGCACTCGTGTCGTGAGAAGTCCCCTCAAACGCGCACTCGTGTCGTGAGAAGTCCCCTCAAACGCGCACTCGTGTCGTGAGAAGTCCCCTCAAACGCGCACTCGTGTCGTGAGAAGTCCCCTCAAACGCGCACTCGTGTCGTGAGAAGTCCCCTCAAACGCGCACTCCTGTCGTGAGAAGTCCCCTCAAACGCGCACTCGTGTCGTGAGAAGTCCACTCAAACGCGCACTCGTGTCGTGAGAAGTCCCCTCAAACGCGCACTCGTGTCGTGAGAAGTCCACTCAAACGCGCACTCGTGTCGTGAGAAGTCCACTCAAACGCGCACTCGTGTCGTGAGAAGTCCCCTCAAACGCGCACTCGTGTCGTGAGAAGTCCACTCAAACGCGCACTCGTGTCGTGAGAAGTCCCCTCAAACGCGCACTCGTGTCGTGAGAAGTCCACTCAAACGCGCACTCGTGTCGTGAGAAGTCCCCTCAAACGCGCACTCGTGTCGTGAGAAGTCCACTCAAACGCGCACTCGTGTCGTGAGAAGTCCCCTCAAACGCGCACTCGTGTCGTGAGAAGTCCACTCAAACGCGCACTCGTGTCGTGAGAAGTCCCCTCAAACGCGCACTCGTGTCGTGAGAAGTCCCCTCAAACGCGCACTCGTGTCGTGAGAAGTCCCCTCAAACGCGCACTCGTGTCGTGAGAAGTCCCCTCAAACGCGCACTCGTGTCGTGAGAAGTCCACTCAAACGCGCACTCGTGTCGTGAGAAGTCCCCTCAAACGCGCACTCGTGTCGTGAGAAGTCCCCTCAAACGCACACTCGTGTCGTGAGAAGTCCACTCAAACGCGCACTCATGTCGTGAGAAGTCCCCTCAAACGCGCACTCGTGTCGTGAGAAGTCCACTCAAACGCGCACTCGTGTCGTGAGAAGTCCCCTCAAACGCGCACTCGTGTCGTGAGAAGTCCACTCAAACGCGCACTCGTGTCGTGAGAAGTCCACTCAAACGCGCACTCGTGTCGTGAGAAGTCCACTCAAACGCACACTCGTGTCGTGAGAAGTCCACTCAAACGCGCACTCGTGTCGTGAGAAGTCCCCTCAAACGCGCACTCGTGTCGTGAGAAGTCCACTCAAACGCGCACTCATGTCGTGAGAAGTCCCCTCAAACGCGCACTCGTGTCATGAGAAGTCCACTCAAACGCGCACTCGTGTCGTGAGAAGTCCCCTCAAACGCGCACTCGTGTCGTGAGAAGTCCACTCAAACGCGCACTCGTGTCGTGAGAAGTCCCCTCAAACGCGCACTCGTGTCGTGAGAAGTCCCCTCAAACGCGCACTCGTGTCGTGAGAAGTCCCCTCAAACGCACACTCGTGTCGTGAGAAGTCCACTCAAACGCGCACTCGTGTCGTGAGAAGTCCCCTCAAACGCGCACTCGTGTCGTGAGAAGTCCCCTCAAACGCGCACTCGTGTCGTGAGAAGTCCCCTCAAACGCGCACTCGTGTCGTGAGAAGTCCACTCAAACGCGCACTCGTGTCGTGAGAAGTCCCCTCAAACGCGCACTCGTGTCGTGAGAAGTCCACTCAAACGCACACTCGTGTCGTGAGAAGTCCCCTCAAACGCGCACTCGTGTCGTGAGAAGTCCCCTCAAACGCGCACTCGTGTCGTGAGAAATCCACTCAAACGCGCACTCGTGTCGTGAGAAGTCCCCTCAAACGCGCACTCGTGTCGTGAGAAGTCCCCTCAAACGCGCACTCGTGTCGTGAGAAGTCCCCTCAAACGCGCACTCGTGTCGTGAGAAGTCCACTCAAACGCGCACTCGTGTCGTGAGAAGTCCACTCAAACGCGCACTCGTGTCGTGAGAAGTCCACTCAAACGCACACTCGTGTCGTGAGAAGTCCACTCAAACGCACTCGTGTCGTGAGAAGTCCCAAGAGTGATTCAACCAGCATGTTGCCCTACCACTCTCAAACACACTCACATATTGCCTCAATCTTGGGGTGCCCCTAACAACAAAGCCCACCCCCTCTACCTCCCCACATGCACTGCACACCCCTTCCAGCGTACGTACGAGAGCGGTTGGAAACGTACCGTAACAGAAAACACCCCCCCCCCCCAACCCTCCCTCCCTCCTACCTCCCTCCCTCCCTTCCAGCGTACGTACGAGTGCGGTTTGAAGCGGAAGGCGATGAGAGAGGGATGCCCATGTCAGTGTCAGATAGAATGTGGAATCGAATCAGTTCAAGACGCGTAAATGCACCCCCTCCCCCCCCTCCTACCCCCCTCCCAACACGTACGAGTGCGGTTTGAAGCGGAAGGCGACGAGGGGGATGCCCATGTTGGTGTCCGATAGAATGTGGAACATGCCCGTTGCCTCCAGCTGCTCCTGCAGCGAGTCCGCCACCTCTGCACAGTTCTCCATCACCCGCCGGTAGCCCTGCATTGCAGTTTGTGGAGGGAGAGAGCTGAGACGATTTTTGAGGCGCCTAAAAAATCGCTGGTAGCCCTGCATTGAAGCTGATGGAGGGAGTGAGCTGAGAGAGTTGGTAAGTCGTTTCTTTGAGTCGGCTCAAATCGACTTACTACACCAAGTTATTGGAGGGAGAGAGCTGAGGGAGTTGGCGAGAATGAGAGACATAATCCAGGCAACATTGTCAACAGGTGGGTTCAACGAGAAGGTAGGACCGTTGCTGAAGGAGGCGAGGCGAATAAGTTGCTTTGCTGCGTTACCTTGAAGCCGAGGCGAAGGGACTGGTAGTACTGCCCCACGATCTGCGCCGCGCCTGATAGACTTTTGCGTCGACTCAAAGGTCATCAGGAGCGCAGGCGAAAAGGGTTGATGCGTTACCTTGAAGCCGAGGCGAAGGAACTGGTAGTACTGCCCGACAATTTGCGCTGCGCCTGATTGATGACACCGCATGGCGGGGCGTGGCGTGGCGTGAAGGGACACCGGGTAACATCACACGGGATGATGTTGAGCAAGTGAGAAACGCAGAGCACAAGCGAGCACACACCCGCACACACACAGGCACACGCCCACACACACGCGCACAGACACAGATGATGAGTCGGGAAACGCGACACCTCTCAAATCTTCTAAGAAACAACCAAGAGACTACCTCAAACGCTCCCTACCTACCCTCCAACCGCCTCCAACTTCTCTAAAACGAGTTGGCTACTTGAGCCAAAAGCCAATCCTTCACCTCGTTCCCCCACCTTACTACTATCACCCACACGCACCTCGGGAGAAGTTGGGTGTCGACTCGACACGCATCTACACGCCCGCAGGCTGTCCGTCCCTCGCCTAAGTAGTAGTCGACGTGGTAGGTAGATGATGCCTCACCCCATTCCTCACCTACATCACCCCGTGCCTCCTCCTCACTCCCACACCCCAAACACCCCCCTCAAACACACACCTCGCGAGAGAGCGAGAAGTTGAGAGTGAACGTGGGCTGGGGCTGGTTCTCGCCCTGGGAGACGTCATCATGGTAGATTAGATGATACCTCTCCCACGTACAACCTGCCCCCCGATCCCACACCGCAGTGACACTTGAGTCGACTCAAAAGTCAGATGATACCTCTCCCATGTACAACCTGCCCCCCCATCCCACACCGCGCGTCACCCACTGCAACCCTCACTCTCCCCACCCCAAACACGCTCCTCGCAAGAAGTTGAAAGTGAAGGTGGGCTGGTCCTCGCCCAGGTAGCCCACGCGGTAGATGCTGCATCACCCACCTACGCTACACCTCCCTCCTTCCTCGACCCCACCCCCATCCCCAACCCCAAGCCCAACTCCAACCCCAACCCCATCCCCAACCCCAAGCCCAACCCCAACCCCATCCCCAACCCCAAGCCCAACTCCAACCCCAACCCCATCCCCACCCCCCGTGGGCACCTCGGGAGAAGTCGAGAGTGAACGTGGGCTGGCCCTCGCCCAGATAGCCCACGCGGTAGATGCTGCATCACCCACCTAACTTCACCTTCCTCCCCCCCACCCCCATCCCCACCCCTTGAACCCCACCACGCACCGCGGGAGAAGTTCAGGGTGAATGTGGGCTGGTCCTCGCCCAGGTAGTCCACGTGAGAAACGCAGAGCACAAGCGAGCACACACCCGCACACACACAGGCACACGCCCACACACACGCGCACAGACACAGATGATGAGTCGGGAAACGCGACACCTCTCAAATCTTCTAAGAAACAACCAAGAGACTACCTCAAACGCTCCCTACCTACCCTCCAACCGCCTCCAACTTCTCTAAAACGAGTTGGCTACTTGAGCCAAAAGCCAATCCTTCACCTCGTTCCCCCACCTTACTACTATCACCCACACGCACCTCGGGAGAAGTTGGGTGTCGACTCGACACGCATCTACACGCCCGCAGGCTGTCCGTCCCTCGCCTAAGTAGTAGTCGACGTGGTAGGTAGATGATGCCTCACCCCATTCCTCACCTACATCACCCCGTGCCTCCTCCTCACTCCCACACCCCAAACACCCCCCTCAAACACACACCTCGCGAGAGAGCGAGAAGTTGAGAGTGAACGTGGGCTGGGGCTGGTTCTCGCCCTGGGAGACGTCATCATGGTAGATTAGATGATACCTCTCCCACGTACAACCTGCCCCCCGATCCCACACCGCAGTGACACTTGAGTCGACTCAAAAGTCAGATGATACCTCTCCCATGTACAACCTGCCCCCCCATCCCACACCGCGCGTCACCCACTGCAACCCTCACTCTCCCCACCCCAAACACGCTCCTCGCAAGAAGTTGAAAGTGAAGGTGGGCTGGTCCTCGCCCAGGTAGCCCACGCGGTAGATGCTGCATCACCCACCTACGCTACACCTCCCTCCTTCCTCGACCCCACCCCCATCCCCAACCCCAAGCCCAACTCCAACCCCAACCCCATCCCCAACCCCAAGCCCAACCCCAACCCCATCCCCAACCCCAAGCCCAACTCCAACCCCAACCCCATCCCCACCCCCCGTGGGCACCTCGGGAGAAGTCGAGAGTGAACGTGGGCTGGCCCTCGCCCAGATAGCCCACGCGGTAGATGCTGCATCACCCACCTAACTTCACCTTCCTCCCCCCCACCCCCATCCCCACCCCTTGAACCCCACCACGCACCGCGGGAGAAGTTCAGGGTGAATGTGGGCTGGTCCTCGCCCAGGTAGTCCACGTGAGAAACGCAGAGCACAAGCGAGCACACACCCGCACACACACAGGCACACGCCCACACACACGCGCACAGACACAGATGATGAGTCGGGAAACGCGACACCTCTCAAATCTTCTAAGAAACAACCAAGAGACTACCTCAAACGCTCCCTACCTACCCTCCAACCGCCTCCAACTTCTCTAAAACGAGTTGGCTACTTGAGCCAAAAGCCAATCCTTCACCTCGTTCCCCCACCTTACTACTATCACCCACACGCACCTCGGGAGAAGTTGGGTGTCGACTCGACACGCATCTACACGCCCGCAGGCTGTCCGTCCCTCGCCTAAGTAGTAGTCGACGTGGTAGGTAGATGATGCCTCACCCCATTCCTCACCTACATCACCCCGTGCCTCCTCCTCACTCCCACACCCCACACACCCCCCTCAAACACACACCTCGCGAGAGAGCGAGAAGTTGAGAGTGAACGTGGGCTGGGGCTGGTTCTCGCCCTGGGAGACGTCATCATGGTAGATTAGATGATACCTCTCCCACGTACAACCTGCCCCCCGATCCCACACCGCAGTGACACTTGAGTCTGACTCAAAAGTCAGATGATACCTCTCCCATGTACAACCTGCCCCCCCATCCCACACCGCGCGTCACCCACTGCAACCCTCACTCTCCCCACCCCAAACACGCTCCTCGCAAGAAGTTGAAAGTGAAGGTGGGCTGGTCCTCGCCCAGGTAGCCCACGCGGTAGATGCTGCATCACCCACCTACGCTACACCTCCCTCCTTCCTCGACCCCACCCCCATCCCCAACCCCAAGCCCAACTCCAACCCCAACCCCATCCCCAACCCCAAGCCCAACCCCAACCCCATCCCCAACCCCAAGCCCAACTCCAACCCCAACCCCATCCCCACCCCCCGTGGGCACCTCGGGAGAAGTCGAGAGTGAACGTGGGCTGGCCCTCGCCCAGATAGCCCACGCGGTAGATGCTGCATCACCCACCTAACTTCACCTTCCTCCCCCCCACCCCCATCCCCACCCCTTGAACCCCACCACGCACCGCGGGAGAAGTTCAGGGTGAATGTGGGCTGGTCCTCGCCCAGGTAGTCCACGTGATAAACAATGCATCACCCATTCCCTCCCACCGTCCTCCTCCCCCCCCCCCCCCCCCCCCCTCCCCCCAACACACACCGCGGGAGAAGTTGAGCGTGAACGTGGGCTGGTCCTCGCCCAGGTAGTCCACGTGATAAATGAGCTCCTGCGGCAGGCAGCGGTCGTTGCGGAACAGCAGCCATGCGATGCCCGGGTACGTGAGCCCGTACTTGTGCCCGCTCACACTGATGGACAGCACGGATGGCAGGCGGAAGTCCCACGCGAGGGACGGGTACAGGAACGGCGCGATGAAGCCGCCGCTCGCTGCATCCACGTGGATTGGGACCTGCCAGCTGAAGGAGGGAGGAGGGGAGGGGGAAACGGGGAGAGGGGGAGAGGGAAAGAGGGAAAGAGGGGGAGAGGGGGAGAGGTGGAGAGGGGGAGAGGGGGAGAGAGGGAGATGGGGAGATGGGGAGAGGGGGAGAGGGGGAGAGGGGGAGATGGGGAGAGGCGAAGAGGGGGAGGGGGAGGGGGAGGGATGAATGGGTTGGAAGGGTTGGGAGTGGTAGAGGAGTGGAGGAGGAGGGGAACGTGTCCTTGTACAAAAGACAATCTTGTCACAAGTGACTCACGACTACCCATTACTCCCTCCCCCCCACCCACCCTCCAGCCACAACCCACACATCACCCATCCCCACCCATCACCCACCCGTGCGGCAGTTCCAGCGCCCTCAGCGCCTCATCCAGTCCCTGCACGTCCTCGAAGTGCCCCGTGTACGTGCTCCCCAGAATAGGCACCACTCCAATAGTGCTCCACCCATCACGCCTCCTCCTCCCCCTCATCCCACTTCCCTTCAATCGAAACACAGGCACCCCATAGTCATATCATAACACCCAGCATTCCTCACCCATCACATCAATCACCAACCCACCAGCATTCCCCAGCACCACTTAGCACCACCCAGCGCCACCCAGCGCCACCCAGCACCACCCAGCACCACCCAGCACCACCAACCACCCACCCGTGCGGCAAGTCCAGCTTCCTCAGCGCCTCGTCCAGTCCCTGCACGTCCTCAAAGTGCCCCGTGTACGTGCTGCCCAGAATAGGCACCACTCCAATAGTCCTCTCGTCGCACAGCTTCACCGCCTCGCCCACGCGCAGGCACGGACACTCGGGCGTGACGGGCACCATGCGCAGCTCCACGTCGAAATAGTTGGCAAACTTTTCCACAACCACGTGCGTGTTGGCGCCCACTACTAGGTTTGGGCTGTCTGTGGGAAGGCCCTTGTCCTTTCGAAACTTCACCCACCTCCGCTTCATTGCCAGGCCTGGGGGCACGGAGTTGCGGAGAGGGGAGAGGGGGAGGAGGGGAGGAGGGGAGAAGGCAGGGATGAACAACCCCGCAGCATCACACACGCCACCACATAAACCACCCCCCCCCCCCGCCCGCCCTCCCCCCCCCCTCCCTTCCTTCCTCCCACGACACAAAATGCACCCCACGGCATGGTGGATCACCTCACCTGCGGGCATGATGGCCTCGCTGCTGCCGAGAAGTTTTGAGAATGGTCAAAAACCACATCACTCCCTGCAACGGCATGGTGAAGTGAATCACCTCACCTCACCTGCGAGCATGATGGCCTCGCTGCTGCCGATGGTGGCCGTGCCCACGGCCGTCTGCCCCTCGGTTAGCGGCGCGTGGTACAGCCGCGCCAGCATGTTCAAACACAGCTCCTGCCAGCCCAGGAGCCCCGGGGGGGAAGGGGGAGAGGAAGTGGAGGGGGAAGGGGAACGGGAAGTGGAACGGGAAGGGGAAGGGGAGGGGAAAGGGGAGGGGGAGGGGGAGGGAGAGGGGGAGGGTAAGGGGACGAAGACATATGGTGCAATGGAAGTGACACATGAGTGGGGAGCGGAAAGGTGGGAGGGGGAGAGGAGGGAAGACAGAAGGGATGGACGGTGTCAACCTGTAGATCATCCCCTTCTCTTCCTTCCCTCGCAATCCCGCGTCCCTCCCCTCCCCCCCCCCCCCTCCCTCTTCCCCCTCTACCCCTTCCTCTCCCCTTCCTCTCCCCTCCCCCCTCCCTCCCCCCAACCTGCATGTGCACGCAGGCGGGGTACTCGGCAAGTTCAATGGCGTTTTGTTGAGCGAGGCGATCAACCCATACATGCGCGCCCTCAACACCCCCGCCCTTCCCTCCCCTCCCCTCCCTTCCCCTCGTCTCTCCCCTTCCCGTCTTCAACCTGCCTCCATCCCCGCTCCGCGCACCTGGATGTGCGCGCAGGCGGGGTACTCGGCGAGATCGATGGCGTTCTTGTTGAGCGACGCGGTCATGAGGCGCTCGGCGTCGGGCTCCATCCACGTGGTGACGAACGACGCCAGTTTGAGGCGCGGCTTGCCGTCCATCTCTAGCATGTCCGCCACGATCTGATACGCCACCTCGCGCGGCATCTCGTCCGCCGGGAACACGTGCCTGACGGGGGGTGGGGGGGACGGGGAGAGGGGAGGGCGGGAAGAGCGCGAGGGGGGAGTGGGGTAAAAAGGGAGGGGGACGGGAGGGAGGCGTGGGGGAAAGGAAGCGTTGAAGGGGAGGGAGGTGGGGGAAGAGGGGAAGGGAGGAAGGAGGGGGGAAAAGGGAAGTTAGAGGTAAGCAGGGGTTGAGGCGCGGCTTGCCGTCCATCTCCAGCATGTCCGCCACGATCTGATACGCCACCTCGCGCGACATCTCGTCCGCCGGGAACACGTGGCTGACGAGGGGGAGAGGGGAGGGTGGGGGAGGGCGAGCGCAGGGGGAGCGAGGGAAAGGGGAGGGGGAGAGGGGGGAGACGTGGGCGAAGTGAAAGCGTGGGAGAGGAGAAGCGCAGAAGGAGTGGGGACGCGAGAGGAAGAGAACACGAGCAGCGGGAAGGCGGGAAGGCGGGATGAAGCTAAATTGGTGCTTTGGATCGTTGAGGCGTGAGTAGAATCCATGTGCGCGTGCGCGTGCGCGAGCGAGAGCGAGTGACGCGCGGGGCGGAGTACCGTTTGACGGGTTGCTGCATGTATCGGTTGGCGAAGACGGGCTCCAGGACCGCGTCCTCCTTGTTGCGATCCTCCGACGTCGTGCGCGACAGCACCATGATGATGGCGATGAGCACGAACGAACGCACGCGACGACGAAACTCGACCAACGGCGATCGCGGTAGAGACAGATGATAGCGGTGACGACGACGACGGCGGCCGACGGAGCCGGATTGTCGACGCGAATCGGTGGGAGAATAGGGACGTGGAACCTCTCAGCCGGATTGTCGACGTTGCAGGTGGAAAGATACAAGACAGATAGGAACATATAGATTCGATTGGCGGGTCGTTACTCGAAGCAGGTATCTCAGAAGATCACGCAGACGCTCTCGCTTTCAGGAGGTGCGATGCGATCCATCGAGGGTATGGCATTGGCAGGTCTGTGTGTGTGCGCGAGGGGAGAAGCGCGAGCCGCGCAAGGCCGAGATGAGAGAGCGAAGCGCGCGGAGAGACAAGAATACGCGGTTCGTAGAGTAGCGAGAGAGGCCATGTCTTCATTGCATGGCACCACGCACATGTCCCGATGTTGAAGGGATGAAGCAGGCGCATTCTAGTGACGAGACGAGCAACGAAGACGTTAACATTATGTAGTCTGCACGGCGTGACTTCCTCCCGGCGGACAGGGGGGCGCCGCGTGGCGGCGCGAGGGGCGCCGCATGGGCCCTGCAACGCAGTGCCGTGCATGGCGCTGCTGCCAGCAGGAGTTCGGCGTGCAGACTTGCTTTGCGCCATGGAATTTCAGGGGCAAAAACGGAAATTTGTTGTGTGGTGTGGAGGTGCAAAACAATTCCTGAGAAACTTCGTTAAGAGGCAGAACACGAGAAACGAAACCTGTTCGCGATATACGTAACAGGCCCATACATACTTCGTTTTGCGGGAGCGGAGCTTCTCCGCTGCCGTGCACTGCTGTTGTGCATCGCTTTCACTTCCCTTGGCACCTCTACCGGTTCGCCACCCGCATTTCCCGCCGAGCCCCAGCCTCCAGACTTCCCAGCCTAGCCTTCCCAGCCTAGCCTAACCAGGTAGTTTCTAACCTTCGACGAGCCCCTCGAATCCAACAATGCCGCGACTATGCCTTTCCGTCTCCTCGACGCACGGCACCAGTTGCGCGTGGCCTCCCGTTCTCCACAAGCCGCCGCGACGGCCGTCGCACGCGTGCTTACGTGTCCAGCCTTCGCAGGCCTATTATGGCAACTGCACGCTTCGCATTTTGAACGACCGTTGTCCCTCGTCCAGTGGCAGGGAGACACGTTGCGTACAGTGTGAGCTTCGGCCAAGCAGCAGTGGCAGCAGCAGCTTCAGCGGCGGCGGCGACGGCGGCAGGGGCAGATGCGGCGGCGGCGGTAGCGGCAGCGTCGGAGCAAGCGCGACATCTAGGGAGGCGACAAGCGAACCCGTAGTAGCCCCGAACACGCCACGCCCACGTGGCGGCGTACCGCTTTCTGCGCCTACGATCGCGGACATCGAGGCAGCGGCAGCGGCGCGCGGAGTGCGACTAGAGATCGAAACGACCGGCCCCTTCTTCACCATCTCCGCTTACGACGCCACCGGCGCGTTCGACGACCGCCGCGACGATGGGCGCGAGGGGCAGGGGGGCGCGCGGACGAGCGGGGGAAGCTCGGGGAGAGATGCGCGCGGAGGCAAGCCGCGGTTGCTGGGACGAGCGCAGGGCTGCATCCGGCCGTTGCTGTGGGGCTCTAACGGCAGCAGCAGCAGCACCAGCGGCAGTAGTAGCAGTGGTAGCAGCGGGAGCGCGGGGTTGTTCCCCCCGCCGCTGCTGCACCTGGACAGCGTGCGCATGGCGCGCATAGACGACGCGCGGCAGCGCGGCGTGTTCGGCGCGGCGCTGCTGATCGGCGCGCTGGTGTTCCGGTGGGCGCTGGACACTCACGGGTGCCACGTGGCACAGCTGCTGGCCATTGACGACACTGACGAGTACCACGCTAAGGTAGGGGGGTTTAGCGGGGGGGGGGGGCAGAGGGAAAGGGAGGGGGGAGGGGAAGAAGGACGTGGGGGAGCGGGATGGGGATGGACACCCACGGGTGCCGCGTGGCACAGCTGCTCGCCATCGACGATACTGACGAAGGGGATGCGGATGGAATGGGGGATGCTGGTGCTGGTGATGTCGGTACTGGAGGTGCTGCTGCTGGTGGTTGTATGGAGGTATGAGTAGACCTTGCAACTGGTTGTTGTGAGGCCGCTGTATGGAACCAGGGCACCGGAGTCAAGGAGGAAAGAGGGCAGCATTGCACCCTGCTCTGCTGGTCCATCCATCTCACACCAAACCCTCACCTGCTGCACTCCTCTCTACCAACCAACCAACCCCCTCTCCCTCACCTCAAACCCAACCCTCCCACCCTCACCGCCGCCCCTTTCCTATTCTCAACACGCCGCAACCCCCGTTTTCTCCCCTCCCGCCCCCCTTCCCTCCGTTCCCCCTCTCTCCCGCCCCTCTTTTTCCCCCACGCTGTGTCACTTGCCCACTTTCTCTCCCTGTGTGTGTGTCCGTCATAATAAAGAGCAACTGGTGATGCACTCGGTATTCGCGGCTGGGCATGCGCACGGTGTTTAAGGCGCCCACAGATTCTTCTCCCACTGTGGCACCGTCCCCCCTTTCCCTGCATCCCGTATGGCAGCTCGTGAAGTACTATTCCCGGCTGGGCATGCGCGCGGTAAGGGTGGTGGAGGGGGGGTCGCTGGGGGATGTGCCGCACATGCTGGTGTGGGGGGGCGCCGGCACGCTCATGGAGGGCGAGATTCTGCCGCTGCTCACCCGATGGTCCCGTGTCTTCCCTCCCGCTGCTGCTCGAGGTGACTTTTGAGTCGACTCAAAAGGTGCCGGCACGCTCATGGAGGGCGAGATTCTGACGCTGCTCACCCGATGGGCCCGGGTCTTCCCTCCCGCTGCTCCTGCTCCTGCTCCTGCCGCTGCTGCTACTGCTGCTGTACCTGCTGCTAGTGCTGCTGCTGCGACTGGTGCTGCTTCTGGGAGGAGTGGTGTTTCGAGTGACTGACTGCTTGCCGACTGTGCTTGCTGGGTGGTGGTGGGATAGACACTCGCCTCTCCTGCTATGTTTCCCTCTGATTCTGTTGCTGTTGCTGCTGCTGCTGCTGCTGCTGCTGCTGCTGCTGCTGCTGCTGCTGCTGCTGCTGTGTAGCATGCGTGCGTGTAGAAGCATTGAAGCAGCAGCTGTTCAAGGCAAGACATTGGTGCATAGCTGCCGCATTCTGAAGTCCCTTGTGCCACCCTGCCACCATTCTGAAGTCCTAAGCCCACTGCTGCTGCCATGCCATCCCAAGCTATCCCATGCCACCCACCCACTCAGTTAGAGAACGCACTGGGCTTGAGGGTCTTATGGTGCACCAGGCTGGTGCTTCTGCTGTGCAGCACTGAAAAGAACTGGATATTGTCATGGTGTTCGTGCCAATTACTACATTATTAGTGATTATTCTCCTACCATATTGAAGTGCAACCCGGCATAAGCTCAAACGTTATCTCATGCAATACAGGAGTTGAGGCTGCCTGCCAGAGCCCTGGCTGGACTTAGGTTGGTGGGAGGGAGTAGTTACCGTATGGCCCCGGATAAAAGCGCATATGCGCTTATAATAAGTTATTTTTTTTCAGGGGTGGCGCTTGTAATTGAGGAACGGCCATAAGCGCCGGCGCTTATATAATGACAAATACAATTTTTAACTTTAAAGGGACCAAACTGTACCTTTCGTTGTAGCAATTTCAAACGAGTCGAACTATTATAGCGTCACAAAGCAGAATCGCGCGCAAACGATTCTGCTTCCTGTACACGGGCAAATTCGCGTCACTTTGCAGGCATGCCAGCACATCCTGACTGGACGCGCAGCCAGTCAGGTCTTCGCGAGTCAAACAAAGCGAAAATGAAATTTGACTCGCTGCAAACCTGAAATTCGTTACCGATTTAAACTGATATTTAAATAAAAATGCACGGGGCGCTTATAATAAGTAATGGTTTTCCAGGGGGGGCGCTTATAATCGAGGATCGGCCATAAGCGCCATGCTCCAGATAGAAGCGCCGGCGCCTGTAATAGGCCGGCGCCTATATCCGGGGCCATACGGTATACACCTTGGCCACCCTTGGCCACCCTTGGCTATCATATTGTTGTTGTACAATCCCGATCACTCTGGGTACACAACAACACACACTCCACCTTATACTCTTCTCAGATTGCGCACTCCACACAACTCCACTGACAAATCACTCTGGGTACACAACAACACACACTCCACCTTATAGTCTTCTCAGATTGCGCACTCCACACAACTCCACTGACAAATCACTCTGGGTACAGGGTAGCATCACCCCACCCACCCACAAACACAGCGTCAGCTCACTGTGTTGTCAAGTGAACACGCTCACGCACACACGCAGGTGTGCGTGCTTGCCCAGGCCATCCACCATCCACCATCCATGCTCATGCACCAACTGCATGCCCGCCCGCACCGCACGCACTCAAGCTAAGCCATCCACTCATCATCCTCCTCTGCCTCCAAACCCTCCTCCCCCCAGCTCTCCGCCGCGAAATACGGCGCCAGCAGCCGCTGCACCTCCTCCTTCCTCGCCCTCACCACACTCTCCCACCCTCCCTCCCCATCCTCATCCCCCTCCCCCCCTTCCTCCTCCCCATCTCCCACCTCACACGCGTGCAGCAGCGCGGTTCTCACGCCCTTATCCGGCCGCATACCCGCCTCCTCCACCATCTCCCTGAACGCAGCAACCGCCCCGTCGAAATCCCCGCAGTCCCCGTGCGCCGAAATCAGCACAGAGTACGACACGACAGTCGGGTCAATCCCGGCCTCCAGCATTCGTTCAAACGTGCTCACCACCTTGCTCAGGTCCCCTTCGCGCCGGTACCCGTTCATCATGATGTTGAACGTGCTCGCGCTCGGATTCACGCGCCCCCCATCGCCAAACTCCACCCCCCACCGGCCCCCTGTCTTCCCCCGTGTCCCCGCCCCCGTGTCCGCGGCACCTTCTCCTCCAGACCAGGACTCCTTTGCAAGTAGCGTGTTCCCTTGCCCTTCCTCCATGCTTCCCCCTCCTCCTCCTGCTGCTCCTGCCGCTGCTGCTGCTGCTGCTGTTCCTGGGAAGGGTGCCTCGCCGCGGTCCTGCGCGTCCCACCACATCTGGCGCAGCAGCTGCTCTGCACGCTCCATGCTGCCCGCTCGCGAGTGAGCCGCCAGCAGCGCGTTGAACGTCGCCTCTGATGGCAGGTTGCTGGTAGGGAGAGGGGAGGAGCAATTACCGGGGGAGAGAGAAAGCGGGAAGGAGGCGGGGAGAGGAGTGAAGAAGAGACAGGGGGAAGACAGACAGGCGGGGAGGTGGGCGTCCCACCACATTTGGCGCAGCAGCTGCTCTGCGCGCTCCATGCTGCCTGCACACGAGTGAGCCGCCGCCTCTGATGGCAGGTTGCTGGTAGGGAGAGGGGAGGACGGAGAGGGAGAGGGGGAGAGGGAGGGGGAGGGCAAGATGAAGGGGAGAGAAGGAGCAAGGAGAGGGAAAAAAGAGAGGGAGTGAAGGGGAGGCAGGGGGAGGACCGAGAGGCAGGGTGCGCGTGTAGGGCAATGGGAGCAGTGGCGCGGTGCGAGTGATGCGAGAGGAAATGCAATTGAGAAAAGGGGCAACAGGCTGAGCTGTTCGCCGCAAGTCCGACATGCCGCAATCGTAACCATGAGCCTGTTGCATTCAGCCCTCGCATGCGTGCATTTTTTTGCGAGCGCGCCTGCACCCATGTATGTGGGTATGTGCACCTGCCTGCCAGCAGTGCAGTGCAGGGTATGTGGGCAAGTGTGTGTGGGTATGTGTGTGGGCGTACCGGTTGCGTTTCATCTCCTTGAAGAGGAACTCGGCGTTGTCCACGTCGCCTGCGCGCCCGTATGCGTCTATCAGCGCCGTGTACGAGATGCCTGTGGGGCTGCACGCACCACCACCAAGCCAACCACACCCACACACACACACACACACACACACAACCGCATTCATCATTCCGCAACCGCGCAAGGTTGGGCAGGGTTGGGCGGGGTTGGGTGGGGGTTGGGTTTGGGGGGGGAAAGCACGGTAACAAGTACGGCGAAGCGGAGTGATATGAACGTGTAAGCGTTAGCACACAAGGGGGAGTCGTGAAACACATCACGCCTTCTCAAGGTACATGAAAATCATAAGAATGAACCACGCGCAAGGCAAGCACATGCCTGCCACCCAGAGAGCGCCCAGCCCAGAGCAGCAGCACCATACGGGATGCGCCACATGATTGCTCATGTATTTATTCACAAGCCTCCTCATACCCCTACACTTCAACCGCCCAGAGCAGCACCCTCAGAGCAGCAGTGTGAGCAGCAGTGTGAGCAGCAGTGTGAGCAGCAGTGTGAGCAGCAGTGTGAGCAGCAGTGTGAGCAGCAGTGTGAGCAGCAGTGTGAGCAGCAGTGTGAGCAGCAGTGTGAGCAGCAGTGTGAGCAGCAGTGTGAGCAGCAGTGTGAGCAGCAGTGTGAGCAGCAGTGTGAGCAGCAGTGTGAGCAGCAGTGTGAGCAGCAGTGTGAGCAGCAGTGTGAGCAGCAGTGTGAGCAGCAGTGTGAGCAGCAGTGTGAGCAGCAGTGTGAGCAGCAGTGTGAGCAGCAGTGTGAGCAGCAGTGTGAGCAGCAGTGTGAGCAGCAGTGTGAGCAGCAGTGTGAGCAGAAGTGTGAGCAGCAGTGTGAGCAGCAGTGTGAGCAGCAGTGTGAGCAGCAGTGTGAGCAGCAGTGTGAGCAGCAGTGTGAGCAGCAGTGTGAGCAGCAGTGTGAGCAGCAGTGTGAGCAGCAGTGTGAGCAGCAGTGTGAGCAGCAGTGTGAGCAGCAGTGTGAGCAGCAGTGTGAGCAGCAGTGTGAGCAGCAGTGTGAGCAGCAGTGTGAGCAGCAGTGTGAGCAGCAGTGTGAGCAGCAGTGTGAGCAGCAGTGTGAGCAGCAGTGTGAGCAGCAGTGTGAGCAGCAGTGTGAGCAGCAGTGTGAGCAGCAGTGTGAGCAGCAGTGTGAGCAGCAGTGTGAGCAGCAGTGTGAGCAGCAGTGTGAGCAGCAGTGTGAGCAGCAGTGTGAGCAGCAGTGTGAGCAGCAGTGTGAGCAGCAGTGTGAGCAGCAGTGTGAGCAGCAGTGTGAGCAGCAGTGTGAGCAGCAGTGTGAGCAGCAGTGTGAGCAGCAGTGTGAGCAGCAGTGTGAGCAGCAGTGTGAGCAGCAGTGTGAGCAGCAGTGTGGGGAGCAGCAGTGTGAGCAGCAGTGTGAGCAGCAGTGTGAGCAGCAGTGTGAGCAGCAGTGTGAGCAGCAGTGTGAGCAGCAGTGTGAGCAGCAGTGTGAGCAGCAGTGTGAGCAGCAGTGTGAGCAGCAGTGTGAGCAGCAGTGTGAGCAGCAGTGTGAGCAGCAGTGTGAGCAGCAGTGTGAGCAGCAGTGTGAGCAGCAGTGTGAGCAGCAGTGTGAGCAGCAGTGTGAGCAGCAGTGTGAGCAGCAGTGTGAGCAGCAGTGTGAGCAGCAGTGTGAGCAGCAGTGTGAGCAGCAGTGTGAGCAGCAGTGTGAGCAGCAGTGTGAGCAGCAGTGTGAGCAGCAGTGTGAGCAGCAGTGTGAGCAGCAGTGTGAGCAGCAGTGTGAGCAGCAGTGTGAGCAGCAGTGTGAGCAGCATGTGTGAGCAGCAGTGTGAGCAGCAGTGTGAGCAGCAGTTGTGAGCAGCAGTGTGAGCAGCAGTGTGAGCAGCAGTGTGAGCAGCAGTGTGAGCAGCAGTGTGAGCAGCAGTGGTGAGCAGCAGTGTGAGCAGCAGTGTGAGCAGCAGTGTGAGCAGCAGTGTGAGCAGCAGTGTGAGCAGCAGTGGTGAGCAGCAGTGTGAGCAGCAGTGTGAGCAGCAGTGTGAGCAGCAGTGTGAGCAGCAGTGTGAGCAGCAGTGTGAGCAGCAGTGTGAGCAGCAGTGTGAGCAGCAGTGTGAGCAGCAGTGTGAGCAGCAGTGTGAGCAGCAGTGTGTGAGCAGCAGTGTGAGCAGCAGTGTGAGCAGCAGTGTGAGCAGCAGTGTGAGCAGCAGTGTGAGCAGCAGTGTGAGCAGCAGTGTGAGCAGCAGTGTGAGCAGCAGTGTGAGCAGCAGTGTGAGCAGCAGTGTGAGCAGCAGTGTGAGCGTACCGGATGCGGCACATGACCATGTCGCGGAACACAGCCTGCGCCTCCTCCGCCCGGCCCGCACGCCCGTACGCACTCATCAGCGCCGTGTACGTCACCACGTCCGGCCGCATGCCCGCCGCTTGCATCTGCTCCATGTGCCCAGGGGGTGGGGGTTGGGGGAAGAGGGGGAGAAACAGGAAGAGGGGCGATCATGAGGCGGGAGTGCCATGGTTGCTGGTTAAGGGCTAATCAGCGCCGTGTATGTATGTCACCACGTCCGGCCGCATGCCCGCCGCTTGCATCTGCTCCAAGCGCGGGGGGAGAGGGGGAAGAAGGGGGGGAGCGGGGAGAGGGGGGAGGGGGGAGAGAGGAGGGGGGAAGGGGGTGGAAAAGGGGACCGGATGGTTCGTGAAGCCCAACTCTCATCTCCTCTCCTCCTCTCCCCGCATACACCCAATTGAGCAATTCTTCCCACCCCATTCCTCCCACCCTTATTCCCCTTTCTTCATCCCCATTCCCCTCCCCCTCTCCCTTCCCCCTTCCCTCCCCCCTCCCCCCTCCCCCATCCCCACACCTGTTTGAGCCTCGCGGCTGCGGGCGTGGCGCCGCATCAGACACCAAGCACGCCCCCCATCCCTTCCACCCTTAACCCCCTTCAATATCCCCCCCTTAATCTCCCACCTGTATCCCCCCTTCCCACGCACCTGTTTGAGAACAGCCTCGGCCTCGCGGCTGCGCGCCTCGCGGGCAAACATGGGCCATGAGCGTGTTGTATTGAACGTGGCGGGCGACGCTGCTTGGGTCGACTTGAGTCGGCTCAAAAAGCACGCACACACACACACACACACACACACACACACACACACACACACACACACACACACACACACACACACACACACCTGTTTGAGCACAGCCTCGGCCTCGCGGCTGCGCGCCTCGCGGGCGAACATGGCCATGAGCGTGTTGAACGTGGCGGGCGACGGCGCCACGTCCAGCGCCTTCATGCGCCGGTACGCGCGCGACGCGTCCTCCGCCCGCCGCGCGCGCGCGTAGCAGTCTATCACCACGTTGAACATGCGCTCGTCCACCCGCACTGCCCCCGCCTCCGCTGCTGCTGCTCCTGGTGCTGCTGCTGCTGCTCTCTCCCCTGCTCCTGCTGCTGCTGCCGCTGCTGATGCTTCCTTCCCCACATGCCCCACGTCCAACTTCTCCCCCTCTGTCTCTTCCGCCTCCCCCTCCGCCCGTTCCTCCACAGGCCCCTGTCCGCTGCGCAGCAGCAGCTCCTCGAAAATGCGCTCCACGTCCTCCACACGGCCCGCCTGGGGGGGGGGCGGGGGAGAAAGGAGAGAGGTGGGGAGAATGAGGGGCAGTTGAATTCATGCGCAGCAGCAGCAGCAGCAGCAGCAGCAGCAGCAGCAGCAGCAGCAGCAGCAGCAGCTCCTCGAAGATGCGCTCCACGTCCTCCACACGGCCCGCCTGGGGGACCCCGAAATGGGAGGAGCGGGGTCGAGGGAATGGGACGGGGACGGGGACGGGGACGGGGACGGGGACGGGGAGGGGAAACGGGAGGGGGAGGAATAAGGGGCGGAGTGGGGAGAGTGAGGGGGACTTGGGCAGCAGCTGCTGCCCCATCTGCATAAACCCTGCCCCTCAACCCCTGACAACCAACAAAAAACCGGAAAACATCCCACACCATCCACCTCCCCGACCTTTCCACTCCCATCCCCTCACCTCCCCTCGATCAACCCCTTGGTCTCCGCCTCTCTTCTCCGCTCTCCGCCCCGCTCTCGTTCCCCCGCAGCTCTCTTTCCCCGTTCTCCTCCTCCCCCATCACCCTTCTCCTCCCCCCCCCCCGCGCGCGCTCACCGAGGCGTAGCCCTTGAGCAGGCACTGGAACGTGAGCGCGGAGGGCGCGGGGCCCTTGCTCTCCATGCGCCGCACCACGGCTTCCGCCTGCTCCAGCTGCCCGTTGCGCGCGTATGCCTCCACCATCCCCGTCATCACCACCGTGTTCGGCTCCATGCGCCTCCCCGCGCTCTTCCCTTCCGCCGCCCCGTTCTTCCCCGCGCCCCCATCCGTGACCTCCGCCTCCGCGGGCTCGTTCATCAGGTCGCGCAGCGCCTGCTCCGCGCGCGGGAGTTGGTGGCAGCGCGCGGCGGCGGTGATGAGCATGGCGTAGTCGCGCTCCGACATGCGCCACCACCCCGACGCGCGCTGCTCGGGGGCCTGCAGCCAGTCGAACAGCTGCGGGGGATGCGGGGAGGGGCGTGTGGGAAATGAGTTTCGAAGAAAATAAAAACTGTCCGACAGGGTTTTGGGAAAAAGACGTAGGGGGAGAGGGTTTTACGGGTAATCTTTACACTTGCACCAGGAGGTTTTCGCGAGCTCCCAACAAAAGAGAAACATTACAAGTCGCCCTCACCTCAACGACCGCGTGCCACATGCGCAGCTGATGCAGGCGCACCAACGCCCCCACCACATCCGTCCGCTGCACCCACCCCGCCGCGCGCGCGTCCGCCATGATCTCCGCCACCAGGCGCCCGTCCGCCGCCGCGCCGACCCTCCGCCGCTTCCCCGCTGCAAGCAGCTCCGACATAAGCACCTCCCACCGCCTCTGCGAAACGCTCTTAGGTTGCACGTTCTCGCCGTCTCGCCGCATCGGGGACCATTTGAGCCTCCCCGCCCCGACCTTTACCTTTTTCGCGAACGCCGCGGACACTACCACCAACGCGCGGGCTTTCCCGGTTCTCGCGCCCGCCGGCACCGCGAAACCCGGGGAGCCGGTGACGCCGATCGCCTGCGACGCGTGCTTGTGCGCCGAGGTTGATCCGCGCGGTTCCAGGAGTTGCGCGGAGATCCCTAAGCGGCCCGACATGAAGGCGGAATCGCTAGCTGCAAGGCGAGGATCGGAGGCAGCCGAGCTTGCCGTGAATGTGCGCTGGCGGGGCGCCGTGGTTGACATAGCCCATGGCGGGACTATGGCGCGGGTTATCCTAGTGGCTGCCATGGCGAGGTGGGAAGTCAAACGCGAAGTAAAGTAAGAACCGTTGAAATTGGAGTGAGGAACAAAGGAGGACAAAGGACGGAGGTGGAGGGGTTTGCGAAGCGAAGCGATGCGAGTCCAATCCAAAGCACCTGACGATGATGTCAAGTGATGCACGCAGAAATGGAAGGAGTGCCGACGATGGATGATGTGCATGCGAGCGCACTGGCTAGCGCCGCGAATTGTTGTGATTCGGCGATTTCAGATGGGCTGCCTAGATTACTCCACCACAGCGAATGCTGGTGCGGAGTGGGCAAACAATAGTGGTCCATGTTGAGTTCTGCACTAAATTTATCTAGCTGATGATAATAATGATATTACACAACATCACACCTCTAGCAACCGCATTCCTAACCACTTCCACTCCCCTGCTTTTCACATGCACGGCCTTTGCTCCACCAGCAGCTTCCTCAATGAACAACTACGGTACATCCCGCATTCTCAAGTCTTGGCCCACTTGCCTCTCTGGTTTCTCCACCGCATGAACCGCTGCTGTCTTTGCTATCTCATCCACCTCCTGTACCGCGCCCCTCAAAAAGCTAATTCTTAACCCATCAGCAACCCTACCTTGCATCCGCCTCACTTCCTCCCAACATGTGCCTGCTGCTGTGTCCCCCCAGACCATTTCCCTACTTCCTCGCACGCACTCCTGCGCGCAAGCCACTGCCACTGGGGAGAGAAGGACCACCCGGCCTTGCTACACCATCACCATGCTGTCCTCCTCGTCCATTCGCCCGAGGACCAACGCCATGTGCTGGAGCACCTGGGGGGGCTGCTGCAGCAACAGCAGCAGCAGCTGCTGCTCCTGCATCGGAGGCTGGTGCTGCTGCCGTGTGTTCCGGAGCACGGCCTTGCAAGCGCTGCGTGGTGTACGAGAGCACGGCCGAGGCTGTGTGGGACGGGAACACAAGGGCAAGGCGAGACAGAGCGGCATCGGTGACCAGCCAGGCAGCATCAGCAGGAGACATTCAAGCTGGTGAACCAACGAGTACACACAGAGGCAGCTGAGAGCTGGCCGGAATGTGAGCAAAGGCAAACCAGAGGGAATGAGGGGCGGAGGAGAATGATGTAGCGTTGCTAGCAGCTGACCTATCTCTCTCAGCTGGCTTGGGTCCAGCAGGCCTATGAGCGCTGAGGCTGCCCGCGCGTCCACACGACCCAGCAGCGCCACTCGCTCCGATGCCACCTGCTGTATGCCCGTCAGCAGCCGCTGCTCTCACACACACGCATGTACACACGTGTGACACATGACGGGGACACGGGGCGACGGTGAGGGTGAGGATGGTAGGGGAGAACATGGGTATGCGAGGGGTCACACACAGGGGCAGGTGGGAGGATACAGGAACCTCAGACAGGAAACCACGTAATAAACACCTTTTAGGAAACCTAGACGGAGACTGGTTCGACAAAATCCTGGCCAAGGCCCATGCGCAGCAAGCAAAGCAGAGCTCACCACGTGGTCTCTGCTCTCGTGTGTGGCCCACTCCCATTCCGTGCGAGCATCCACCAGCTTCTCCGCCAGCACCTCTCTCCTCGTCTGCACCACGCCCATGCCACTCTCCCCGCCACCATGCACCTTGTCCCAGTGCTTCTCGCATTTCAACCATGTCTGAGCCACCACCGGCACACCCCACTGGCACCCAGGCGCGTTGCAGACCACCTCGTCTGCTGACACTGGCACCGGGGCAAACATCCGAGCCTCTTCCGCTGCTGTGCCCAGCCCCACCGCCCGCCCCGTGCCGCCATACCACATGCCTCGGCCCTCTTGCCCTGCTTCTGTTTCAGCTGTTGCTGCTGCTGCCTGTGGTTGCTGTTTCTGCAGGGAAGCTGGGGTCTTTTCCCGCTGACCTTTGCTACTCCGCCCTCCCCGTCCCGCCCCTTTCCGCCCCGATCCCATCCGCCCACCGCCTCCCCCTGCGCCTGTTCCTCCCCCCTCGCCTGCCACCACCAGCGCCTGCGACCATCCCGCGTCCTCGCCCCGCCCCTGCGCGTCCCTCTCGCGGAGCAGCGCGAGCTGGCGCTGCTGCTGCAGCATGCGCGAGAGCGGGATCGCGAGCTGCCTGCGCTCGCCGCCCTCCACGGACCGGAAGTACGTCGGCAGCTCGCTGTACCGCCCCGAAGGGCCGCGCGACGCGAACTGGCACTCCAGGTCGCGCGTGAGCAGCCGCCGCCGCGACGCCACCGCCGGGTGCGCGAGCTGCCCGTGCCACGCCACCCACCACGGCACCCCGCCTCCTCCTTCCCCTCTGCCTCCGCCGCTGCCGCCGCCGCCGCCGCAGGCAGCGCTCCCGCGTCTGGCGCCACCGCCCTGAGCGCCTGCGCGGTTTCTGTATCGGGGCTTGCCGCCCCTGGTGCCAGCACCACTCCTACCATTCGGTTCCATCGGTGCACCCTCCCCCTCCCGACTTCCCCCACTCTCCCTCCTCTCCTCCGCTTCCCCTTCCACATCCTCTCCTCCTTCCCCTGCTCCATGCTGCTCCTCCTCACTCTCCTCCTCACTCTCCTCCTCACTCTCCTCCTCACTCTCCTCCTCACTCTCCTCCTCACTCTCCTCCTCACTCTCCTCCTCACTCTCCTCCTCACTCTCCTCCTCACTCTCCTCCTCACTCTCCTCCTCACTCTCCTCCTCACTCTCCTCCTCACTCTCCTCCTCACTCTCCTCCTCACTCTCCTCCTCACTCTCCTCCTCACTCTCCTCCTCACTCTCCTCCTCACTCTCCTCCTCACTCTCCTCCTCACTCTCCTCCTCTTCTCCCTCGTTACCCTCCCCCTTCTCCCTCTCCTCGTCTTCCTCCTCCGCCTCTTCCTCCTTGTCCTCATCCCGCCAATCATAGTCATCCAATTCCTCTTCATCCCCGGCCTCTTCGTCGCTCTCCCACGATCCCAGCATGCGTCCCTGCTCCTCCTCCTCCTGCCGCGCCATCGCCTGACACCACGCCTCAACGCACTCCACCCCTCTCGCCTCCGCGGGATAATCGCTCAGAAACTCCAAGAACCGCCACATGCGCAGCCGCCGCCGGAAATACGCCAGCGACCCGACCTGTCCGCCGGCCCCGTGCCGCTCCGCGACCCACTCCAGCATCTCCTGGGGTCGGTGCCGAAGCGCGGCCGGCAGTCTCCGCTCCGTCCGCTTCAGCTCCGCCAACCACCGCCGCGCGTCTTCCTCCACCATCCCTGCGCGCCGAGCCTCGCGCGGGTTTAGAAGAACCAGCTGCAAATCGTTCGCGGGAGTGGCTTCCAGCGGGTCATCCACCTTCACCAAGCCCCAATCCGCGCTATAATCGTGTTCAGTTTCGGTCCTAAGCTCCGAGTGCTCGATCATTGCGGACGCCGTTGTAGCACCGTCTCTGCCCCCCTTGACGTTCCTGTCTCTCCCCCCACCTTCCCCTCCCCCTCCCCCTCCCCCCCCCCCCCCTTCCTCTCCCGAACCTCCCGTCCGATCCTCCCCGCCGCTGCCAGGCCATAGTCTCCGCACAATGCTGTCCCTCCTGTTACTGCCCTCCGAGTTTCCTTCCTGTTGCCCGTCCAGTCGTCGTCGCTTCCTCGCGCCTTCGTTAAGACCCTCCCCGCTACCCTCCTCCGCCGCACCTCCCGCGCCTCTTTCGACCTCCTCCCCGTCGACCATGTCCACGTCAGCCAAGCATGGGGCGTCGTCGCCCATCGTGCTGCCCGCATCTTCGCCTAAGCTCCCCGCGATCAACGCGCGCCTGCCGCCGCTACCGCGCTCCTGCTGCAACCATCGCTTCATGGCTGACGATCCGGACGCCCCTGCGGAAGAGGAGGGTAGCGCGCTGCCAGGGGAAGCGAAGGGGCGTGACGCATTTCGCTTCTGTCGGGAGCGCAGCACGCCCATTTCGCTGCGTAGAAGCGAGCGCTGACGAGCAGCCTTGAGGCGGTCCGTGGGAGTAGATTTCGGCGGGAGGGCCGCTCGGGCCTTGTTAGGCCTCCCAGGTGTGAAAGGATGCGACATGGCTGCGCTAAGCGACGGGAGAAATGGCGAGCAAAAAGGTTAGGGTTCCATATGAGGAGAGGTTTGGGGGAAGTGGGAGGTTGTGGGCTTTTGTTTTGATCGCTTGGGCGAAAGGGATGCCGATACTGGTGTAAGTGCTTTGATGGTTGGGTCTTGTATCGAGTTGATTGATGTCAACCTCACAATAGGTGCTGTTGATTCATAAATACGTGCACTAAGTTGCCATCCATATAACACACAATTTGTTTCAACATATACAACGCTGGAATTCATTAGCAACTCTTGAAGCTGTATACAGTAAAAGCAGTGTCAAAAGGTATTACAGGATTTTGCAGACGAAATATGTCAGGAAACTAGAGACCCCTGTACTAAATGATAACATGATGTGTGCTGAGTGAATGGTGTCCCCATCCCAGTAAAAGTCTATTAAGCTAAAACTGCATCTCGGTTACCTGTTACATGTTGTGCAATCCACCCAAGCCCTTCAAACAGGCCCTCCCCTGTTAGTGCACAGCATGCCTGAATATGCCAGTCGTGATTCTTGATAAGATGAAGAGCCAGAGCTTCACTTATTTCTGCTGGCGTCATGGCCTCCTTCAGGTCCTGCTTGTTGGCAAAGACGAGAATGACCGCATGAGCTAAATCTTCATGCCCCAGCAAGCGAAACAGCTCATCCTTGGTCACGCCAATGCGGCCTCGGTCTGTAGAGTCAACTACCATCACCACTGCGTGTGTTCCTCTGTAGTAGGTGGCCCAGGATGGTCGTAGTCGCTCTTGCCCTCCTAGATCCCATACCTGCCACATAAAGTTGCAGGAAATGTACAAAAGAACGATGGAAAATCCAAACTCAGACGAATAGTGTTCCTTGGCATATGCGGTACGGATATGATGGCTTTCTGAGCATAACGGGGAAACAAGGCACGGCTGACGCATGACAGGCGAGATGAAGACGGTACCACCCTCTGAATCTTAGTAACGTAGGGACATTGTACGAATTACAAAATACAGCTACCATGATGATAGGTGGAGCAGGATGCACTCGAAATAACTGCAGGTCTTCGATCATCATGAAGATGGTCGCATCGAAGAAGCAAATACATGGAAGAAACGCTGCGTGAAACGATTGCGTTTATGCGAATGCGCGCATTTCTCGCAGTCCTATATACGGTTGACGTCAGGCAAGAATGACGCAAACCTAGCTGCGGAATGACTTCGGCTCACATCACGCAACCCTAATTGCGAAACACACACAACGGACGTCTCGATGCCTGATTCCGAGGTACATTTGACCTTACTTTCAGCTGCAACGATAAAATTCACGACATGCTATGCAGGTCAAAGGGACCCATCCGACGTACGACTCAGGCACCCAAGCGGATCCGAAACCTATGGCACCTGTGCTGATCCACGAGCGGATTAGCGTGTGGTACAACTTACCTCGAATCGTATGTTTTTATAGACGAGTTCCTCCACGTTACTCCCGACCGTAGGTTGTGTCACCACGACCTCGCCCAGATGTAGCTTGTAAAGCGTTGTCGTCTTACCAGCGTTGTCCAAACCGACAACCACAATCTTATACTCCTTCGCCGGGAACATGAGGAACCAGAGTCTGGATATTAGAGCTCCCATGCTGCCTGAACCTCAGAAAATAGTATACAGTGAACAATGAGACAAGGCCTGGCTAACTACGTGATCAAATCTACTAATTCGTGGCCACTTCGCAAAATTCAAGACGAAATGGATCAAAAGACACCACAATCGGCAGCTTGTACGGGGGTTAGGTCTGGAAACAGCTGCGAGGCGAGTAGGCAAGCAAGGTTCTCAGGCTCTCAGTGGAGTTTGATCCAGCGAAGCAGCAAGGTGTTGGGTAGGATAGACAGGACAAAGGGGGGGAAAGCAGGAAGGAAATACAACCCGAGCCTTGCGTCACGTCACGAAGGAATAGGCACACACACACCACCTCCGTCCCACGTCCTCGACCTGGTGTGAACTGAACGCAAACCCGAACATTAACGAAACTCTTGAGGGTACACTATACGTCTAAAATCATGGGGGTTAAAAAAAAGAGTCGTGCTTGTGGCGGAGGCAACAATAAAGTGCCTTCTCAGGGCGCATTCCTACCTCGCGTCAGACACGAAGTGGAGGTTTGGATAGAGGTTCGGAAGACCCGAAGTGGCCCACTTCGGGTCTTCCGACCATTGATTTGCCAGAGTTCCAGGTCACCTCGGGTCTTCCTCAACTTCACTTTGCGTCTGACCTCATGTCAGACACGAGCCAAGAATGCACCCTCAATGGCTGGAATTGAATCAATCATGTTGTGAATCGATGTTGGACTTTCATCTGGACAATAAAAAAAGCTTATATGATCTACAATAACGTGGCAGCAGCGTAGTAGCATGCCACATAACTAGCCTACTGGGTCACAATTCTACAACCTCTAAACAAATAAATAATTACCAACTGACAAATAAACTACACACTAGTCACAGAAGTCGTCTGACCTCGTGAGGACAGAAAATGCGTAGGGGATTGACGAAAGTGGAGTAGAAGAGGGAGAAAGCAGAGTAAAACGCAAGTCAAGGAGACAGGGAGGACAGGAGATACGGTACGAAAGATGAACAAACGACTAGATTACAAGCGGAGGCGGGGATGTGCATGGGAAGGCCGTTGAAGCTACTGTTGCCACATGATCTGCCGTGGTATGGACAGAAACACCAGCAGCCCCACCACGACCACCTTCACCACCACCACTAACAGCAGCAGCATGCAAGTCTGCAGGTGTAAAAGCTTGCATGGTCAATGCACCCGTCTCCTTGCGTTCACGCGGCGATGATGCCTCTTCCTTCTCCCTATTCCCCCCCTGCTGCCCGTGCGTCACCAGCAGCCCTTGTGCAACAGACCCCGCGAGGGACTCCAGAGGACCTTTACAGCCCGCAGGGGCCTGGTTACCGACAGGCGGAATGGCTGCTGCTTCTGCCAGCAACGGCTGGTCCAAGGAGAGGGACGGCAGCGGGTAGAATGCAACTTCTGCTGCTGTCGATGCTGCTGCTGCTGCTTCTCCGCCTGCTGCTGCTGCTGCTGCCGCTGCCGCTGCTTTTTCATGCGCTGCTGGTGGAACTGGTAATGCTGCAAGCCTGCTCGAGCCAACACAGTGAGAGCTGCCTGCATTGCCACAACCACTGCCACTGCCGCTGCCAATGCCACTGCCACTGCCACTACCACCGCTACTGCTGCAGCCACTGCCGGTGCTCACACCAGCACCAACCATCCCAGGAGAAGTTACCTCCGCAGGCAATCTCCCGCCTGCCCCACCAGCCACAACAGGAGACAGTGCCACCATAGGAGCGGTCCCCGCGGACGCAGGCGCAGACGCAGGAGGAGCAGGCGATGTGGTGGCAGGCGACATGGGCGCAGGGGAGGGCGGGGCGGAGGAGGCAGAGGGGGAGAGGCCGGCAAAGATGTCGCGAAAGAGAGGGTGAGCGCCGCGCCTCAGGCGGCTGCCTGTGAGCGTGCGCCGCGCGGAGGAGGGCGCGGGGCAGCCACCGTGGCTGAGGCTGGCATGGTGGTGCGCATGGAGCAATGCCTGGGCGTGCTGCTGCTGCTGGTGTTGGTGTTGCTGTTGCTGTTGCTGCGGCTGCTGGTGCTGGTGCTGCTGCTGGTGTTGTAGCTGGTTCTGGTGCTGCTGCTGGTACTGCTGCTGCTGTTGCTGCTGGTGGAACTGCTGCTGCTGCTGGAATACCTGTTGCTTCTGCATCAGCTGGCTCTGGTGCTGCTGCTGGAGCTGCTGGTGGTAGTAGCTGCCCTGCATGCCTGCATGCTGATTTACACCATGCTCACTCCCCCCCTGCTGCACCTTCCTACCCTGATTATTCCCAAACTGCTGCTGCTGGTTCCCGCCCTGCTGACTCCCACCATGCCCCACAGAAACACAGGCGGAATCCCCCGCATCTCTCACGCCTGCCTGCTGAAAAAGAGCGACCCTGGGAGAAGGCCATGGAGAGGAGCTTTGCAGGTGAGAAGGAGGAGGAGGAGGCGGAGGAGGAGGAGGAGTAGGAGCGCCAGGATCAGGAGCAGGTGAGAAAGCCCCCGTCACACACGTAGCATCAGCAGATGCTGCTGCTGCCGCTGCTGCTGCTGCTGCTGCTGCTGCTGCTGCTGCTGCTGCTGCTGCTGCTGCTGCTGCTGCTGCTGCTGCTGCTGCTGCTGCTGCTGCTGCTGCTGCTGCTGCTGCTGCTGCTGCTGCTGCTGCTGCTGCTGCTGCTGCTGCTGCTGCTGCTGCTGCTGCTGCTGCTGCTGCTGCTGCTGCTGCTGCTGCTGCTGCTGCTGCTGCTGCTGCTGCTGCTGCTGCTGCTGCACCGACCGGCGCAGGAGCAGCAAGAGAGACCGTGACTGGCGAAGCCGGAAGCGACCATGAACCACCAGCAGCAGCAGCAGCAGCAGCAGCAGCAGCAGCACCAGCACCACCAGGACCAGCAGCAGCAGCAGCAGCACCGGGAGTGCGCGAGCCCACAGGAGTGCCAGGCCGGACGAGGCGCCTGACGATTCGTCCCCCCTGCGTGTGGTAGAGCAGCCAGGGGTGCGTGAGAATGCGGTCCACTGTGGGGCGGCGACCAGGGCACGGGTTGAGCAGGCAGCGCACGAGCGACTTGGCCTCCGTAGACACGCTCGGCCAGGGCGCAGAGGAGAAATCCAAAGGGGAGGAGGAGGAGGAGAGTGTTGCAGGTGCTGATGCAGATGCAGGTGCGGATGTACATGCAGAGGCAGAGGCGGAGGAGGAGGAGGAGGCAGCAGGTCGCGGGTTGCTGGCTACAGCGGGCGGTGCAGTTGCTGCTGCTGCTGCTGCTGCTGCTGCTGTTGCTGTTGCTGCGGTGGCAGCAGCGAGGGCAGCGGCAGCGGTTGCAGCGGAGTGGGCTGCTCGGCCGTGGCAGCGCGAGGGGCAGGGGCAGGGGCTGCGTGCAGGGCTGCCGAGGACACGGCCGTGCGTGAACGGGCTGCTGTGGTTGCTGTGGTTGGTGTGGTTGAGATTGTGAGTGTGAGCAGGGTTGTATTGCATGCCTGCTCCTCTCGGAGCAGGACTCATCAGCCCACCACCAGCAGCAGCCCCAGCAGCCGCCGCCGCCGCAGCAGCAGCAGCGGCGGCAGTGGCAGCATTAGCAGCATCGGAGTACGCCCTGACCGACGCAAAAATAGCATCAGTATTCGGGCCCCAGAACGGCGGGTAGCCTGCCAATAACGAGTACAGAATCACTCCTAGCGACCACACGTCCGCAGGAAAACCATACGACCCGGAGATAACCTCTGGAGCCATGTATATTGGCGAGCCTGCAGGCCCCACCACGCTCTGCCCTGCCTTGAGCCGCACCGAGAGCCCAAAGTCGGCTAGCTTGACCCTCCAGGTAGGGCGAGGGGGCGCGGGGGAGAAGGGGGAGGAGGAGATGACGTGGCAGGGGGAGGACGGGGCTGAGGACGGGGAGGAGAAGGCGAGGGGGTAAGGTCGAGGGTGGGACAGGGGACTGGCTGGTGGGTGGGAGGAGAGGGGGGTGTGAGGGAGGGTGTGAGTATGAGGGCGGTTGCGGGGGAGGGTGTAGGTGTGGGATGGAGTGTGGGTGTGCGCAGGAGGCTTGGAAGGGAGAGGGGAGGAGGGGAAGGGGGTGAAAGAGAAGGGGGCGGACCGGACACCAGGGGAGGGGGAAGAAGGAGGCGTGAACACTGCAGCGTGGGGGGCAGGCGCATGAGGGAGAGGGGCTTGGGGGAGGGGAGCGGGATGGGGGAGAGCTGGAGGAGACTGAGGAGTGGGTGGCAGTGCGGGCAGGTTCAGAACGGTGGGAATGGCGGATAAGGCAGGCGGTAGGGACGCGGGGGAGGGCGCAACTGGAAAGGGCGAGGCAGAAGCAGAAGCAGCGGCAGCGGCAGCAGCAGAGGCAGAGGCAGATGCAGAGGCGGGTGAATTGGAGGAAAGCAGAGCGAGGGAGTGGGGCGCACAGGGGCTTGCAGAGAGAACATGGGCGGAAACGGCGGCAGGAGCAGGCGCGAGGAACGGCGAGCAACTGGGGGCCGCGGAATGGGTTGAGGCAGGAGAGGGTGCGGAAGAGGGTTGTGCGGAGGGAGCAGTGGGGGCGAAGATGGCTCGCGCTACAAACAGCCTCGACAGCTTTCTGCCGCCACTCACGCCGTCGCCAGCACCGCCAGCACCAGCACCAGACGAACCACCTTTAGAAGCAGCACCAGCACCAGCAGGAGCAGAACTCGCAGCAGCAGCAGCAGCAGCAGCAGCAGCGGCGGCAGCAGTGGGACTGAAGGGTTTCAAAGGTGACAGCATGGACAAATCCATCGGTTTAATTGGCGACGGCAGCATTTGCGCTTGCTGCTGCTGCTGCCGCTGTTGTGCCTGCTGCGCAGTCAACGGCCTGATGGGCGACGGCAGCGCTGCTCCCTGCGCCACATTCAATGACCGCGTTGCCGATGGCACCACCACGCTGCTGCCTCCATCCCCATCCCCATCCACATCCACATCCATCGCCGATCCTAATTCCACTCCAACTGGTACTCCAACAACAGTCGCCTCCTTTCCACACGGGCTGCTGACCATAGCAACAGCAGCAGCAGCAGCAGCAGCAGCAGCGCTCGCAGCGGCAGGAGAGGCGGCAGCAGCGTCGTGTGCCTTGATGGGCGACGGCAGCACGCTCCTCGCCGCCTCATTCGCATGCGCGTCGAAGCTCTTCACCGGCGTCCGCACGTCCTCGGCGCCTGCAGCAGCAGCAGCAGCACCACCACCACCCGTCCCGTCAACGTCGCCAGCGCCACCCACGCCGCCAGTGGCGGCAGCAGCAATGGAGCAAGAGAAGGCCCCGCCGCCGCCTTGCACGGCCGCGTTGGCGGCAGACGCGGCGGCAGACGCGGCGGCGGGCGGCAGAGTGAGCTCCTCCATGGGCGGCAGCGGCGTGAATGTAGAGAGCGTGATGGTAGCGGGGGACGCGGACGGCAGAAGCGCAGCTAGCGGAAGCGCGAGGGGGGATTGGCACCCCGAGGCGAGAGGGGGGGAGGACGGGAGGGGGGACGGGGACCGAGGGGGGGTAGATGAAACTCGCGCGCTTCTTTCCGCTCGCGCCACTTGCCCTTGCGCCAGCTCCTCTTCCGCCAGTTGCCCCTGCGCCAGCTGCCCTTCCGCGCGCCTTGTGTCAGCGCACGGGACTGGTTCGCCCGCGTGACCTGCGGCGGCATCCCCCATGGCCGCCTCGCTGCTGCGACTCGCGCCCACGTGGCTCGAAAGGCGCGCGCGCTTCTCCTGCGCCAGCTGCTCCCCTCTGCCCTCGCCCCCTTGCTCCTGCTCTCTGCTCGCTTGTCGCGCCTGAAATTGCTGCTGCTGCTGACCCAGCGCGTGTTGCGGCGTCGACGACTTGAATTGTGGTTGTCGTAGCGGCGTGTGCTGCTGCTGCTGCATGTGCATGTGTTGCTTTTGCCACCGACCGTTGACCATACCGGGAGACAAGTACTGTGGCTGCTGCTGCTGATGCGGTTGCATCGAGAACATCTGGCGTTGCTGCCACTGGGGCTGCTGCTGTCGTTGCTGTTGCCACGAACCCGGTGGTCCACCAACCGAACCAGTAGCCGAACCTGGCGCCGAACCGCCAATTCCGCCAGCAGCCGCCGAACCAGGCGCGGTGGCGGGAGCAGGGCTGGAAACGAACCCACTTCCTCCTGACAGCTCCGCACCGCCACCACCACCACGCGCAGAGCCGCTGCCGCTGCCGCCGGCGGTTGCGGCGGCGGCGGCAGCGGCGGCGGGCGACGTGTCGAGCAAGATATTCTCCGGCTTCAAGTCGCGGTGCAGCACGCCCTGCGAGTGACAAAACGCGACGGCGAGCACGAGGTCGCGGAACGCGAACGCCGCCTCGCGCTCCGACAGCCGGCGGCTGCGCTGCAGATGATCGAACAGCTCTCCGCCCTCGCATAGCTCCATCAGCACGTGCACGGCGCGCTCGTCCTCCAATACTCCGCGCAGCTGCACCACGTTCGGGTGCCCCGCTAGCCGTTGCATCGCCGCGATTTCCTGCCGAACCTCGTCCCATTCCTCCGGATCGGCGATTCGCGTCTTCGAAATGCTCTTGCAGGCGAGCCGCTCGCCCGTAGCGCGGTTCTCGACCTCCCGGACCACGCCGAACCGCCCCGAACCTAGCTGCCGGCCGACGCGGTACACTGCGTCCAGCCGCTGCCACGTGGAGCCCGCAACGGGCGCGGCCGGGACGGCGCTAGTTCCTCCGGACTGAATTTGCGGCGCCTCGGCGCTCGGCGGCGGAAGAGGCGCTTGAGACGTTTCGTACGGCGCGATAGCGACGACCGCGGCGGGAAGCGTCGCTGCCTCCGACGACGCTGGGCGGAACGAAGCGGCGGAGGCTTGCGGCGGATGCACGACGGGCGCGGGCGGCGAGCAGGCAGCAGTGGCGGAGACGGCGGGTTGCGCAGAGACGGCGGCGCAGAGCGGGCTTGCGGCAACGGGCGGCGGGCACGGCCTTGTGTCAGCGGATTTTTCGTCGCACGGCCGTTCGTCGCACGGCCTAGACTGTTCGAGCGACAAGTCGGAGACTGTGGGCGCGTGTTCCATGCTGCCTAGCGGAGGCAGCGATACGCAAGACGATGCCTCAGTCGCCGACGGCTCCGCGGGGACATTCCGCGCGCCCGCTCCATAATCTCCCCCGCCCCCGCCTCCGCCTCCGTCTCCACCTCCGTCTCCGCCTCCGCCACACACGGTGGATGCTCCTCTCCCAGGGGCGCATCCACCCGCCGTCCTATCCGCTGCTTGGGGGCCTGCAGGGAGTGGCGGACGGGGAATTGCGCCTTCGGGCGGTCCGTTCGCGGCGGACTCGCGGGACGACGGCGTTGGGGAGGACGGCGGCGGTGGCGGAGATTCGTGCCGCTGCCGTTTGGCGATGAGCTGCTGCGATAATTCTCCTCGTCGTCCCTCCTCGCCACTGTCTGCATTCGCTCCGCCTTCTCCCTCTGCTTCAATCCCTGCCCTGTCGCAAGAGGCGTTCTCTTGCGCCCGGCTCCGCTTTAACTCGCGCAAGCTGTCTGCGGCGCAGTCCTCCCCGTTCCCAATTGACATGCTTGCGCAGCCGCCGCTAGCGCTGGAAACGGCAATTTCGGCGTCCAAACGCTGATGGTGATGGTGATACTGCTGCTGCTGCTGCTCCTGCTGCTCTTGCTGCTCCTGCTTTTGCTTCGCCACCTTTACTCCTTGTGACTGCCTTATAAGATTGGTGTTAGAGACCTGCGCCTGGAGCATTGTGCCTGCTCCGCGCATGCAGCCCAGCTCACGCGCGTTCAGAAGCTGCGCGGGTTGCGCGGAGTTAAGATCGTTCCGCCTGTGCGTAGCCGCTCCTCCGCCGCTGTCGGCTTCCTGCGAGCATCGTCCTTCCGCCATGGCGGAATTTTAAGCGTTTAAAACCACCCTAAGTTTTACCCGTACGCTAAATGTAGTTTCTGGTTCGCCATGGGGCGACAAGATTCGGAGTTGGCGAAATTCCACCGAGGGGATGGCTGTGGATGGGCACGCAAAGAGGGCAAGCCTTGTGGAAGGTGCTAGATGGACTCCCAGGAAAAGTGAAGGCCTTTTCTTCAAATCACTAGCACGTTCTTCCTTCCATATGGTTGGTGGAGAGATTCCTGGGTGAGGAGAGGAGGAACCAAGGGTGTGTATCTAGAGAGGAGATGGTTGAAGTGGAGGCTGGTGTTGAGTGGTTTGGTGTGGTGAAGGCAGGCAGGCAGGCAGGAAGGAGCAGGCAGCAGTCACGCAAGCAAGCTGCCGGGCTGGAGAGCGCTCTCGGCATCCACCCAACCCCACCCCACTTCGGCTTGTGCTTCTTTCATTTTCGCCCTCGCTTCGCCTCTTCCCTTCAACTTGCTGGTCGGCTCGGAGCGGCACGCACGGCACCGAACAGCATTCAGACCTTCCCCACACCACTGCTTTTTCCCCAAATCGCCCCTAACCTAGCCTGTTCCGCCACACCACTGCTTTTTCCCCAAATCGCCCCTAACCTAGCCTGTTCCGCTGGTCTGCAGCAACCTCTCCGCCCACGCCTCCGCCCCTCCGCTTCACTCATCCCCGCCAGCCCAGACAGCCTCCTCCCCCACACAGCCAGTTGAAGGACACGAAGGCTCCCCCAACCCCCCTCGAACCCCTCCGCTCCGCTCACAATATTGCTGACGTAAGTCTTCCCCCTCGCACAGTACAGTACAGTGCCCTAGAGTCCCCAAAACAGCCCTCATTTCGTCGTTGTCGTCTGGTTTCCCCAATTCTCGGAGGTACGGGATGCAAACTAGAGGGGGGACAGTCAAGTCTTGAGGTGTGGGCGACTCGACTTTGCATCCTCAAGCTGCATCACATGTGCATTGCTACTTGCAATGACCAGAAAGGACACTTGACCAGAACTGGCCAGAACCGTCTAAAAATTGCACTCCATGGGAAGCTAAAGTTTTGGAAAGTTGTTATTGATGGCACACTTTCATTGGAACCGCGAGATGTGGCGTCTGTGCCTGAGTTTTGCAAATGGGAAACTGGTTTATACGAAGGTACCGAAAAGGAATTGGAATGCTGGGATGTTCCGTTGTGGGTGGATTCTGCTGCTGCCCGTAAAATGAAATGGTCACTTGGATTCATGTGGTAAAATACGAAGCTGAATGCAACATATCTGCAATGAAGGGGCAGCATTCTCTAATGTGGAATATTCCACCTGTCCAGTTAGCATGTCTGGGTGGATAATGAGTGGTAAGAATCATTTTGGGCAGAATGACATGCTTCCATTAAAGACCACTTTTGGCTGGATGAATTTCAGCCACAATTGCGAAACGCTGGATTGAACCAATGGGTAGAGAGAGGTTGGAGCAGAGGAGCTCGAACCGCTGAGGCTATCCCATACCTTCGAAACAGCCAATAAAATATCGGTATGTTCAGAGAAACAGCTGAGACGGCCAATCAGATTCAAGTTGGCAGAGGAGCTTCCGCAGTATGGATGCGATTAGCGACGGTGTCAGGTCATTTGAAGTCAGGGACAATGTCGAGGTAAAAGAGGCGGTAAATCAGAGAAAGCACAGTGAATCTGAAAAATCTACACTTTCACTCCTCTTCTAAAGATTCACTTATCAAAACCATAATAATATATAGTGCCAGTATATATAATTGGGTAAAGAGGAACCTTGTAAGAATATATCAATTCCTTATTCTGTATCGCCACTTCTATCACGTGCAACTGTTGCCCCCACTTTCATCCAACAGTGTCCCGTTACCACCTCGCAAGTTGCGACATTCGCTTCTGTTCCCGCCTGTACCACTGTCGTGCTCCGAACCACACGAACCGACTACGGTAGTAACTCGCTACTCGGCGCTATGCCTCGACAATTCACAGACCCCCGCGCCAGGCCCTAAGGGCACCCTTTGCGAGAGTTCATTACCATTCGTTCATGCCTTCACTTGTTATGCCGTATTGATTGCTTCCTTCCATAGCAATTTTCTCACTCGATCACTAAATTGCACTCGTAACACTTCCAATCCTAAAGATTCTTTGCGCATTGTCTTCTGTATATGTAACTGCATGCACAGTACACCAATCATCTCACACTGCATCTCATTCGCTGACTCATCATTTCTAGCAGTTCTCATTGCCTACCTAACAGCATACCGTACATACCTATGGTACGAATGCCTCTTACAGGGCATGACAGAACAGCAATATGCATCTCAAATGTGGGTATTTTGTGGGGTAAACAATTTCTTATCTTCATATCCTGATTTTATTGGTTGTGCTCCTCAGACATCATCGCTAGAAACCGCACCACATGCTGCTATACGCAACGCATGAAGGGACAAACCAGGAGGAGCACGTAGAAAGTGGCAGCATGCAGAAATGCATACCGTATACGAAATGCTACCTTCGATGCAATACAGAATCGGCGAATGTTAACCCACGGAATTGGATCGAATAGGACTAGGCCAGATCTGAACTGACGCAGGCACACCATCGGCCTCTTGCATGGTTACCCCCTCCAACCACCACCACCACCCTCGCTGTCATTATCATAGTCCCTTTTCTCATCCCCATCCCCATCCCCATCATCATCCGAAGTCCCACCGCTGCTACTGTCTCCCTCTTCACTCTCTTCTTCGTAACTCCCCTCACCTTGCGTGCCCCCGTCCCCCTCACTCTTCTCCTCCCCCCCTCTATCCATCGCCCCAACATCCCCTCCATCCCCAGCTTGTTCCTGCCCCTGGCCCTGCCCCGGCTCCTGCCACTGTGCCTGGTCTTGCCACGACGCCTGGTCTTGCCAAGATGCCTGAATATGCCAATCACCACTGCCAAACTCCCCACCAGCATTGCTGCCACCACCATCACCAGTGCCATCACCATCACCATCACCATCACCATCACCATCACCATCACCAACACCAACACCAACACCAACACCATCGTCACCTTCATCACTCTCACCCTCATCGTCCTCCTCCTCATCATTATCCCCATCCCCATCCTCATCATCTTCATCATCATCATCGGCATCATCATCATCATCGCTTCCCTCTGCCTCCTCTTGCCGGTCACCTCCATCCCCTCCTTCCTCCCCATCCTCCCCTTCCTCATCCCCAGCTTTCCCTTCCTCCTCCGTCTCCTCTCCTCCCCCGTCCACAAGTCCTTGTTCCCCTTCCGCAACAGCAGCACCGCCATCACCACCACCAGCACCAGCAGCACCACCACCCTCCTTGTCCCACCAACCATCTCGTTCTCCCTCACCTCCTGCGAAAGCTAAGAGCATTTCAGCATCTATATCACCATCATCCCCATCATCACCCTCCACATCACCACCCCCACTACCATCACCCATGCCATCACTCCGCATGCCACCATCCCCATCCAAGCCATAGGCTTCATGCTCACCCGTGCCCCTACCTCCCTCCTGCTCCCCTGCCTCTGACACTTCATACTCCTCCTGCTCTTCGCCTTCCCCTGCACCCCTCTTCTCCTCTTCTTCCTCCTCTTCGTCCTCCTCCTCGTCCCCCTCGTCTTCCTCTTCCTCTTCCTCCTCTTGTTCCTCCACCTCCTCTTCTCCACCCTCAACCTCCTCTTCCTCCTCCTCTTCCTCCTCCTTCCCACCTTTCACCTTTTCCTCTTCCCCCTCGTCTTCCTCTTCCTCCTCCTCATCCACTTCCTCTTCCTCCTCCTCCTCCTCCTCCTCCTCCTCCTCCTCCTCCTCCTCCTCCTCCTCCTCCTCCTCCTCCTCCTCCTCCTCCTCCTCCTCCTCATCCTCATCATCGTCCTCTTCCTCCTCCTCCATGTCTTTTTCATTCCACTCATCTTCTTTCCCTTCGTCCTCCTCCTCGCTTTCCTCCTCACTTTCCTCCTCGTCGTCCTCCTCCTTCACCCCTTCTTCCCCACCTTCCTCGTCCGTCTCTTCAACCTCCTTCTCCCCCTTCTCATCAAACTCTGTTCCTTCACCCGTGACCCGTATCCTTTCACCACCAACTGTCAAGTCCTGCTCCCCCTGTTTCTGCATCTGCCATCCTTGCTCCGTCTCTTTGTTCTCCTCACTCCATTGCTCTTCTCCTCCTCTCTCCCTCCCGTCTCCTCCCCGCCTGTCCTGCCAGTCCATTCCCCATCCTCGTTCAACGGCTGCTGCTGCCGCTGCTGTTGCAGCGTCTCTAGTGCTTGCAGCAGCAAGACTCACTCTTGCTCTTTTAGATTCTGTACTTAGATCTACTCCTCCTCCTCCTCCCACTCGCCCCCTCTCATCAGCCTCCACCTCCCCCAACTTCCTCTTCCTCTCCAGTTCCGCACGCTCTTTCCACTGCTCTACTTCCGTCTCCTTCTCCCTCTCCCTCTCTCGCACTCTCTCCCTCTCCCTCTCCCGCTCCTCCTTCACCCTCTGCTTCTCCCTCTCGACACCCTCCACCTCGCTCCAAAGCAGAGCAGTCTCATGGTTCACCAGCAGCCGCGCCAGAAACAGCTGCTCCGCTCCCCGCAAAGCCTCCCCGTCCCGCCACCCGTCCCGCATCCGCCCCCACCGCCCCACCACCTCGTCACCTCGTATCACCAGAGACATACTCCGTCCCTCCACAGCTTCTGCCTCCCGTGCTGCCGCCACCACCTGCTGCTGCCGTTGCTTCTCCAGCAGAGCGCGAGCCTTGGTCTCATACTCCCCATCCCCTCCCTCGTTCGCTAAACCATCCTTTCCTCGAACCTTTTCACTCGTGCCACTCAAATCACCAACCATTCCCACCTTTCCCCCGTCTCCCTTTCCGCCTCCTCCCCCCCACCCGCTCCCCACACCACTGGCATGTGCGCCAGCCCCCGCCCCCGCCTCCCCCCCTCCGCGCGCTCCCCCTAAACCACCGGCTGCGGGGAGGGCGGGGGGCGCAGCGGGCGCGGCTGCTGCAGAACGGGGAGGGTTGCGGGGAGGCGGGTGGGACGCGGGGAGGAGGGCGTAACAGCCTGTAGACGCGCTAGATGCGGAAGGCGCGAGGTCGGTTGAGGAGTGAAGGTTGACGAGCGCAGGATCGTAATCCGCGAACACGTGGAAGGGGAGGAGCCTGCGCGCGGGGCATGCGGGGAGGAAGAGCGCGAGGGAGGAAGGTGTGTGGAGGGAAAAAAAAGTAGGTATGGAAGGAGGGAGGGGGAGGGGAAAGTAGTAGAAAGGAGAAGGGGAGCGAGTGGGAGTGTAGGGGGATGGGGAGGAGGGGTTGGGGCAGGTAAGTGGTGGGGATGAAAGTATGGAGATGAGAGGGTGGAGTTAGAGGGGTTGCAAGCACCCTATGGAAACAAAAAACGGAGAAAAAAATAGTTAACAACACGAAACCCTAGTCTTCCCTATCATGATCGCAGCGCAGCACCGCTCCTGTCGCACGGCCCTGTCCCCCAAGCCGCTACCTCCTCACCTGTCGCTCGAACCTGTCCCCCCAATTCGCTGCCTCCTCACCTGTCGCAGGCGTCGCCGAGGCTAGCAAACGGCGAGCGCGTCTCGGGGTTCGCCGCGGCCACCGCATCGGCCAGCAACGCGCGCTCCGCTGCGGCTGCAGCCGCTGCAGTCACGGCAGAGGCCGGCCGCCGACTATTCCCAGCCGGCGACGACCCACCGCCAATGCCGCCACTACCACCAGCACCGCTCAACACCGCACCGGAATTGGACACACCCCTCGGAACATTGTCATTCATACCGTTGCGACCCCCACCGCTCAATCCCCTCGCGATTGCGTCGCCGGCGCCAGTGACTCCCCGGCCGGCGGCGTTGCCGGCGGTGGGATTGACACCGACTCGCCGGCTGTGCTGCGGGCTGGGCTTGACGTCGCGATTCGTCGGACGAGACATATCCGAGGCGACCCTAAGTTTGTCCCCGCGGGAACCGGCGACGGAACTAGGAGCTGAGGAGACGCGGAACTCTGGCTTAGACATGACTGCGGTGACCTGGGTGATCCGTGGGAAAGCTTCAGTGACTCATGATGACGTCGGGCAGCTGGAGTTGACTAGGCTTTGCTTGGCTTCGCAGTGCACCCAACACTAGTCCTGCAGAACGGAATAATACTGAAGCGATCTGCCACTTCCTGAGATCAGCTACATGCAACACACAGCGTGACATTCATGACAAATGTTCGGTAGAGTATGGTACTGAGATTTTACACGTCGGTTCCAGTATTCATTATAACCAAAACACATGCGCCAGTTTTCATAGAAACAAACTCGTCGGTGATAAACAGGGCTGCAACAATCAAGAATCCGTTGTCGTCCAGCCTGGTTAGGATACCTGGCTTTCACCCAGGCGACCCGGGTTCAAATCCCGGCAACGTAGCTTTGAAGACACGAATGATATGAAGCTCTAAACCTTAGTACAAAACAACTAAGGCTGCATTCGTATCCTCTCTTAAGCATAGCCAGACCAATGCGTCCAACCCCGACCATGTCGCTACCTATGCTATCACCTAGGTTTCTAACTACCGCGGAACCTAGCAGCCCCAGCTTACCCGCATATCTTCCCGCACGATTGTCAAACCGGTGCCGATTAGGCAGGTTCTTCTCACTCGACATCGTTTCGGCCTAGGCAAGTCGGTTTTTCCCCTCGGTTTGCTTCCGCTGCTCACCTTGCTCACCTTTTTCACCTCGATCTCCCTTATTAACGCTGCGCCGACATGCAAGGAACAAGTCGCGACTTTTCCTTATCTCAACCAACCTTTTCTTAGCATCGTACGGGCTTTCCCGCTCAGTCTCGTCCCTCGCCTCCCAGTTTTTATCTCCCACCGATTTTCCCGTTCAACTACTCGACCGATCTTGCTTGCCGGTCTGTGCTGCGACCTTCCTTCCTCGCGAAGCAAACGAGGAGCCTCGTTACCGCCACGCTGCCGCCTAGGGACGTTCCTGCGCTGCTGGCCGCACCCTACTACGGCTCCGCCGCCGCCGCCAACGGATAACCCCCCGCCTCGGCCAGGAACCCGGCAACCCGCACACGCGCCGGACTTTACCATTCCATCATTTCTCGCTCACACGGATTTCATAGCCCTGTCGATTCCCACTTCTCAGCAGTGCCAAAAAAATCACAGTCGTCTCCGTTTATCCGTGCTACCCTTCCGTTTATTTTCCCCCCACCTGCCTCTCCGACACGTCCGCCACCGCTCACGATGGGAGCCAGACGCGTGCTCCGCGCTCCAGCTGCCTCAACGCGAGTCAGGTGTAGTCTCACCGTGTTACCGCAATACCAACATCTCACCCTCGGCCTTTTTCTATTTTTGGCAGCAGTGGCAACCGCAAGCCTGCTTACGTTACCTCAACCCCGCATCTTCTCAGATAAGTGCTACCGCACTTCCCCCTGCCTTTGTCAGCCGATTCGTACTTCACCGTCTCGATAAGTCTCTTGGTCCCCCGCTTTCGCTCTCCTTCTGCTTCGCCGTTCTTTCTGTTGTTCCGATGGCCCCCACCCTGCCTCGCTACCCCTTCCTATGTGTGTGCTCTCCGGACTCGGGCTGCCGTTTAGGCTTCCGGTCTACCCCTGACTCGGGCTGCCGATTAGGCTTCCGGTCTACCCCTGACTCGGGTCACCAACTAAGCTCCCAGTCTACTTTCGTGAATCGCTGTGGCCAACGACTTTGCGTTCACAGCCTTGCTCATGCCATTGCTTGTGCTTGGTCTCGTGACCCGGGAAGCCTCGTAGGCTCCCCGTCAACCCCCCTGACGCACCTTGGTCATGCTCCTTGCAACCACGCGCTCCCCTCCCCTCCCGCTTTCGTGCCGCTCATCGGAACATCGCCTTCCGTTCCAGGTCAGCCTCTTCCCACGGTGTTGACTCGCTCCAGCTTCACCATTCTGGACTTTCCTGGCCTCCCCCCGCTTATGCGCCTCCAGTCTGCCCCCCTGGATCTGCCTTTCCCCCGCATGCCCCCCTGGTCCCAACCCGAGCCCTCAGATGGCTTAGGTACCTCGGTGCACCACCTTCTGTCCCCGCTATACCCTACCTTGTGGTGCTCCAGTCCCCTCCTCTCACTCTGCATCCATGGCATCGTTCCTTGCCACATCGACTTCCTAGCACGATCTCAACCGTCCGAGAGCTACCCACCCCTGCCTGCCCCCCCAGCAGGCTATACCGCCCCTTGCTTGCTTGCCATGCGGTACTGCGCCTTAAGCTTCTTCATGCAGCCATGTTTGAAATGCTCAACTTGTGATTTTTCAATTAATCTTGACCTACAACTAGGGCTCCGCATCCTGTGCATCAATGTGAACGGAATAAACGAAACTCGCAAAATGGATGAGCTTAGATCCTGGCTATCGCGCCTCCCTGCCCCCACTGACTTGGTCATCCTCATTGACGCTCGACTCATCCTCAGAATCCCCAACCTCAACTTGAAGTTTCGACCTCACGCCTCTGCCCATGCCCCGGCGCTGCTCTCGACTGACAGCGCTACCGGGAGGCCCACTCTCATCAGAGGCATCTCCATCCTCTCTTTCAACAGGGCCGTCTCACTATCCTCCCCGCTCTCCTCTGCAGATGGCGGACTCATCACGGTTCATCTGAACTATCTCAGTGAGCAAATCCACCTTATAGCTGTCTATGCGCCTACACAATTCTACGAGCGTCGAATATGGTGGACCACCACGCTCGTTCCGGCACTAGAAACCCCCACCGCTGCCTCCGCGGCCATGCTCGCCGGAGACTTCAACTCGGTCATCCTTCCCATCGACAGAAATCAACCCCTCAAATACTACGAATGCCGAGAAGGAGCTTCCTTCGCCAAACTCATGGACACCCACGCGCTGGTCGACGTATTTCGTGAACTTCACCCCACACCTGCCGACGTCTTCTCCTTCTATGGGAGGCAACGCCTAAACTCAGCGTCCCCGCCCACATCGTCCCGTCTCGACAGGATCTACATTTCCCGAGCCTTCCTCCCCAGTCTCACCGCTAGTCCATACATACAAACCCGCACGGAAATCACGGATCACATGTATGCCCCTCTCTACTTGCTCGAGTTCACTAACCCCACTGTCGCCCCCCGGCCATGGCGACTCCGCCAACATCTCCTTATGCGCCCCCGCGCTACACAAATCATCGATGCCGCCCTTGCAGCTTTCCCCTCCTCCCCTTCCCCGGAATCCTGGGACAGATGGAAGCTCAACCTCGCCCTTAACTTCAAAAGATTCTCCAACCTGGAAAAACGTCGTGTCGACGGCACGATCGCGCAGCTAGAGCGCACCATTGGCTCACTAAAGTCGCCAGCAGCGTATACGCCCTTAGACCAGAACGAAATTCTCGCGTAAGCCAAGCACGACTTCAATTGGTCAGATACGAAGCCTTGAAAGCCTCCGAGATTGCGCTCAAGGCCAAGCTGAAAGTGGAAGGGCACAGAGAAATGGGAGTCTCCTCCCTCCTCTCTGGACTTAACTCGCGAATCAAAGGCTCGATCATCAACTCCCTGACCAGTCCTAACGGCAGACGACCTCGGACCTACCCACCATGACCAGCATGTGTTCTAACTTCTTTCAAGCCCTCTACAGCGGGAGCAACCCCGTCACCCCTAACCCATCCTTTTGGCAACATATCCCCCCATCCTCCATCCCGAACCCCTTACTACTCCGTCTCAGTGCCCCCCTTTCCCTAGCCGAAATCGAAAAGGCCCTTCTCTCTCTGTCACGAGGTAAAACCCCTGGCCCAGACGGTCTCCCTGGGGAGATCTTCCGACAATTCTCCCCCCGTTTCGCACCGGCCTTCCACTCCCTACCCTCACCACGACAGCCGCTCTCCCGCCTCCCCCCGTCCATGCTGATCGGACGAACTATCCTTATTCCTAAGAAAGGAGACCCCCCGCTAGTAGAAAATCTCCGCCCTATCACCCTCATGAACGCTGACTACAAGGTCCTCGCGATGTGCCTCGCCAACCGCCTTCAGCTCGTCCTCCCCCAGCTCATTCACCCTTCCCAAACCGCATTCACCAAACACAAAAAAATCGGAGACACGATCAACGACACCCTTGACATTATGGATTGGGCTTCGTACTCCTCGACCCCCCTCCTCACGCTCACGGTAGACTTTCGAAAGGCCTTCGACCTAGTCGACAGACCATTTCTCCTCTAAGCCCTAGCAGTCATTGGGCTACCAGCACCCTTTATTTTATGGGTCCGCCTCATACACTCTAACACATACACTCGTATCTCGGTTAACAACATGCTTGGCCCCACCTTCCCCGTCTGCACGGGCGTCCGACAGGGATGCCCTCTAGCGTCCGACAATGATGCCTCTAGCGTCCGACAGGGATGCCCTGTAGCACCCCTGCTTTTCGTCTGCGTCATTGAGATATTCCACCGCTGATCTTATGTCCCTTTTCCTCCCTGGCTTCGCCCTGTCCCCCGCTCAGCGCCGCCTCATAGCGTGCTATGCGGACGATGTCACCTTATTCCTCACCTCAGACACAGAGCTCGGACAAGTAGTAGTGCAGCTTGGCGTCTTCGGATCTGTCTCCGGTGAGGTCCCTAACTGGAACAAATGTTTTATAATCCCTTCCAATATCCCCCCTGACGACCTTGTACACGCCGTGATTATCCCCATCCGAGCTCCCGAAGAGGCGGAGCGCATTCTTGGAATCTACGTCGAGCCCCTCCACCCAGGCAGAGCGCATTCTTGCCCGCATACAAAGCACTGCCAATTTCCTCGCAGCCCTACACGCCACAACCACGTG